AATCCTTTGTTGATAAAACGAAATATCCCAACTCAGAAAATATATAATAGAATATAAAATAACGTCTGCTTTATTATTGTCATATTCTTTTCTGTACGTACGTATGTAATCGTTGACATTTACTCGGAAATCTCGCTCCCTCGATTTTCCCTGTAAACAATCGTGGACTTTCGTCCCTATACACCATTAATGAGCATATATTTTTTTGGACCTTTAATTCAGTTAATCTTTACTTTTCCAAAAAACTCAAGTAGCTTGTAATATTGCAGTCTTAGTATATAGATAATATTACTCTAATAGAACTATTTGCGAAAAAATATTTTTTAAATTTTGTACTCTTATGGATAAATATACGCATTTACGAAAATTATTTAAACTGTCGAAAACATTCAGCAAAAACTTGGAACATTTTACATAAGATCTTTGCAAATCAAATGAATATATATTCTGTACATGAATATATCCAAAGATATATTTTTTTTACAAAAAGTTTTGTAAAATTGAAACATTCCTTTTCCTGGAAAGAAAATCGTTTGAATTCTATTTACAATAAGAATCTGTAAACACAAATATTGGTGAACAATTCCATCTCTAATCGACGACCCTTTCATTATGTGATGCACGTTGCCAGTGCCAGCTATAACTGAAGATGAATCAAAATCAAGAAGGAAGCTGTAAAGACATGAGAAAAATATAATAAAATGCATGAAATAATGTGACAATAAAGAGTGCTGCATCGCGCACTGTTAAGCCGCAAGAGTCGCAAGTGGTATGAAGCGATGTGGGTCAGCCGAACACGTTGCGCATCTGGGTCAGCGGCGTGTTGACGCATGCGCAAAAATTCCGGTCGTTCACCGTTCCAAGTTCTACGGCACCTCAAGTCTACAGCGACAGCAACTCAAGTCTCGAGGATAAGTTTTGACTTATTGTTTTTTTTCCTTTTTTTCAATTTTCCAACTCTCTAAGCAAAATATATTTACCATGAAAATTAAAACAATAATTCGGTGAAAAAAAGAATAGTGCAATCGAAAAAGGAAAACTTTATACATACTTTATTTCCTTATAATATGTATTTTGTTATACATTTTTTTTCAACGTGGAAAAATATTAAAAGAATATTTGCATACGGTTTACAATGTTTTCAAGTTAATTCGCGTTGTAATTGCCAAACCAAAATATTACGTAAGCAATGGCAAGTTGAAGATTCTTTTATGATACACATGTATGTAAAACGTCTTAATTTAAAACCAAACCATATAAAAGAAGACGCGAGTACTTTAGAAGGCTATTCATTAGGCTTCATTTAGACTATTCATGACTCGCGGCCCAAATTGAAAAATCTTTTCAAATGCCTGACGAGCTTGGCATCAGAAGGTGTTTTATTACAGATGTGTGGCGCAACTGTTACCACACTCAGCACTTAAGGAAACTGTAACAGTTACTCTTAAATTGGACAATAAGATATCAATAGTTTGAAAATTATTAAATATTCACACGGACGACAATTTTTGTCCGGAACAATTGCAAATTTCACTATGTTAGAGAAACTTTAGTTGCTGACTTTCGCTATTCTAGAGGAACTTATCGCTGTTCAAGATGCTGTTTTTTCTTTTTTGAATCATTGAACTGCGAATCAAAAAGTATGAAAATCAACTTCCGATATTCAATTATTTTAAAAAGCGAAGTTTTAAAATATAACAAAATAAGCACTTGTTGAAATTCATTTTACACCTCCAAAAATAGTATGTACACCCAGAAAAAAATTGTTCGTTAATTCAAAGAAATAAATTTCTTACACTTGCTTTCTTTCAAACAAAAAGAACGTTTTTTTTACTAAAAAAAAATTTCTTTTATTCAAACAACTTGTCTTTAAATTAAATAAATTTTCTTTGAATTAAAAAAATTAGATCCTTAAAGCAAAGAATTTTTATCATATAGAAAGAAATAATTATTTAATTTAAAAGTGGAAAATTTCTTTTAAGGAAATTAATTTTTTTTTAGTCAAAGAAAAATTAAGTTTGAATCGAAGAATAACATTGTATTTATATTGTGATTTTATGAAGAAAATTGAAAAACAATAATTAAATTTCATTACTCAATGAAAAATATTGTTTCATATAATTAACACAATGTTGCTTCGCAACAATTTTGACACGTTTTTTGTCAAAATTAAACCTTAGAAAAACTGTATATTATAAACCGGCTATAACAAAGTCTACGAAATATTAATGATCGGAAAATTTTAATTACTTTTTAACTAAGTTACAGCCATTAAAGATAGCATTGAACGAAATGTTTTATTGTCAACTTTTTTCAACATTTTCGTCACGTATATCATAAGTAAAAATATATTTATTTCAATGAAAATAAACATAATTTTTTAAATGAAATTTTATGTCTTCAGATAAGGTGCATATTTTTATTTTCTTCAATTTAAAATGAAGAAGAAAATAAATAAAACTTAACGTGTTAGATTTATAAAAGCATCTTGTGCGTAATTTAGAAATTAACAAGTAGTAATTGTTTGTATTTATTGATTAAAATGTTATTAAAGCATTTAAAAGAGCGAGTGTGAATCAATTATTTGTCACGTGCTCGTGCATCTACACTGCAGTATTATTTATTTGTAAATATATTTATAGAGTATTACGTGGCTCAGGTTGCCAACCTCCGGTTATGCAACAAAATGAGAAGGAGCGAAAGAGGCGAAGGGCGGCGAAAAAAACAAAGAGAAGTATAGGTCGGTGTGAGAGAGGGCAATGATGTAGAGTGGGAGGGAATCTCATTCAGGAGGGGGACATTAAGAGAAGGAACTAATGACCGTGGGCTTTAGATAGGAGCATGAGACGTAAAGATATACAGAGAATAGAAAAAAAGACAAGATATTGTTACTAATAAAAGCAGCTACTTTTGATGTACTGAGATATTTGGAATTTTTATAGAAATACCCCTCTCTTCTATTGAGAACTTTATATGTTCATATGAAAACAACTTTGTTACTCTATAAAGTGGTTTTGAAAGATGAAATTTCTAAATTTCTAATATGTGTTATTGAAAGTACAACGGTACCTTCAGCGCAACATTTTTCATTTTTTTTTTTTTTTTTTTTTTTGATAAAAATAGAAAATTGCCACTTTGTATGTAGCTTGTGTTTGTTTTGTTCGAAGCTAGGATTTGCCTTTCTAAAAATCAATAAATAAATTCTTTTTTTTCTTACAAGTTTAAATAAATGTCTTTTTTAATATAAAAATGTGCAAAAAGAAAATATAGTAAATGGCTTAGAAATAAGTGAATACGTATTTGAATATGTTTATTAAAAACAAAGATATTGACTAGTACTTTATAGGAAAAGAATATTTGTCAGTAGGTAAGTCAGGGAGTGATAATCCATATGCCTTGAGAATAGTTTTTCGTTTATTTCAGATATAAATGTAGAGATTTCAGTCTTTACAACAATTTTACTATCTCGGTACAATGACAAATATTGTGAATATCAGAAATAAAAAATATAAATTGCGGTTAAAGAACTAATAGTTGTTGTGCTGTTTGGACAGCTGCCTATGCCTAGGCTGATTCGAACTTTCCTCTTTTACTGACGTGCGGTAGAAATGTGCTTTTCATGTAAAATAGTAAAATGACTATACTCGTCTAATCAATTGCGATGACTATTCCGCAATCTTTAGATAAGGGGCCATTTCAATATTATATTCACATGGGGTCGAGCGGTGAGGGAAAACACAGGGACCCTCATTCAAAGTCAGGAAACGCTGTTTTTAAATATTGTACAAAAATTAACATTGTGAATTTAAGACTTTTTTTATTAACAAGACTTAAATTGTATTTGTTACCATCTGACACTTTCACTATAGATATTAATTTATTGTTAAATATGTCATTCACCAACAAAGTACTTTAGTTTAAATGTGTAACTTCATTAAATTTAAATAATTTTCTTCAAATAACAAGAAATACTTATTTAAATACTCGATTTTTGTAGTAAATGTTTCAAACTTTAATAATCGTATACAAAACATGCTAGTTTTTTGTATTTCTTGTTATTAGAAGGGTGCCAACCAATGGGACGCAATGCCAACGACTGGAATATAGTTACCCTATAGTATAGTATTTTAAATTTAAGCTGTTTAATGTTACGGTTACAAGAAGACAAAAAATTTAAGTTTAAGTTTGAAATATTCAACCACAATTTCTAATATTTTTAAACAAAGAAAGAAAAATAATAGTAATATTAAAAATACCAGTTATTTTTACTGTTTTACAAAACTTTTTGTTGAGTTTATCAAAATTTTTGACCCAAGAAAGCAAAAATAGGATTAGCAAAAAGTACTCTCTAAATCTAAATTTAAACTAGTAAAAATGTTTACCAATTTAAATTTCACTGTAAAAGTTAAGTATCTTAAAAGTGACTACAAAGTTACTGAAGATGTTTAAGCCAGAAACATTTTCATAAAAGATGTTTTAAGTTAGTCACTTTTAGAATACTTCTTTTTGCAGTGTTCCTGCTTTTGAATTAGTAAATTTTACTAATAAATTACTCTCTAAAACTGAATCATTGAAATTTGATTGATTTTCAGTGACTCTATTCTCGCGATTTGAAATTTACTTTCAGTGAAGTTTTACTGAAGATCAGTTAAAAATGATTGAAACATCAGTTATTTTTCACGGATTTGCCAATTAAAAAATAACTGAAATTTTCGATATGAGTTTATAGTTAATAATTTCTTCTCGACTGTGCCTTAGAATGTTAAATTTTGATGATTCTAATTAAAAATCGTGACTTCTCTTATTGTTAGAGTTTAGACACACGTGTAATGACCCAATGACACTTGCATTAGTTGCAGACGAGATTCGTAATGAGAAAATAACATAATGTTGACAAGTCGAATGAAATTCACAAAAGCCGAAGGCGACTTCGGAAAGCGCGCGAGAACTTCGGGCCTCGTCGGCTCCACTTGCGCTCTCCTGCGAAGTCAGTGACGCCGAGAGGGGGTGATTCTGGTTCGGGAGGGAGGGGTGAGGCACTCGGCCATCATCGGTGGAGGCGCACCACACAGTGCCACACAGTTCAGTGACCTGACGTAGCGTGAGAGGGTGGTGGGGATTCTGACATATTGCTGCCTTGCTTTGCCGCGCTGGTCCCCCCGGATCTTCAAACCCCGAAAAATTCATGCATCAGTCGAGTGCTTTCCGTGCGTTTTTCCGAACAGTGACGTCGTCGTTGTCGTCTATTCATCGCGGATATATTCACAAAGCAAAGAATCACTTAAAACAAACCAACACTTGCAATGAAGAGCAATAATTGATAACGAGTACTTGTGCTATCTGTAGGATCAATTTCTAAATACTTTCAAGTACTTTTTCTCATTCGGTTTACAAGTGTTTTTCCTCCTTTTTTTAGGAAGTGTTGTTTGTTCAGAAATATCCCCCTTTGTATAGCATTAAGTTTCCTGTTTAGTCATTACTTCATCTTCTTTCTCTTCATATGTATTGACTTTTAGCTCTCTCCTTCATTCTCTAAAAATAAATTTCTCACATTCCTTTTCTTCTGGACAATATATATGATTATTATTTTCGGGAATATTCATAATGCAACAATTTCTAAAATTACGACAAAGTTCATTAATTAATTCGTCTAAAAATTTTGTTACAAGATAAACTTGTGATAAAACTAAATTTATCAGTGCATTTGTTTTAATAATGATGTAGTGTTTCTACTTGCAGTGATGGTGTTGTGTTAGTAATACATGTATACAATGGTGATAAGGACGGTGTATCTAAACTTTAAATTTTGATTTAATACTTATTCAAAGCAATGCAAATCATTTTCGTCTAAAGTGTTAACAACAATTTTCTATAAAAATCTCACGCAGATAGTGACTGATTCGTCTCAGCGGAAACACGTACTTGAATATATAACATTTCTAAATTATAACTATCCAATAAGTTTTAAGAAGTAAAGTTTCAGATGAACGGAATGACACACGCAGTCGCGGTCTTTTCAAATGAAAGAACGATTGATCATCCTTGTTTACACAGAATGTACTGATGTTTTATTATGGGAATATAAAATTATTTAAATTTTTAAAATTACATGCATACTTTTTATACAGTTTGGAACTCGGTATTTTTTAATCAAAGAATTTTTTACACACTTGATATTTAAAATTGAAGATAATTTAAAAAGCAGAATGACAACTGTTTACTTTTTCATCTTTTTATGATATCATTGATGGAGGAAATATCAAAAATGCTTATGGAGTCTTACCGACTCAAAGCGATTTTAAGGAATTCCCCCTTTTTGAAAGAACCGCATGCTTATCAACGCGCTACGCGCATTGGAGATGGGTGACTGTACTTTAGAGTTCATCGTTCTCAGTTATGTAATGTTCGACTATAACTATATGGTCACAAGCGCCTCGACGCTAGCGGCGCTTACGTTGCATTGCTGCTTACACATTATGCTTGGTATAATACTCTAACGTAATCACTTTCAACTGACTCGCGTTCATTATTGTTTTTTTATTTATTCTTTTTAAATAGACAAGCTCACATTTGTTTATTTATATCCCTATATGAAAATATCTTGAACACTAAATTGTTTAAATATTTATAAATATTTCATTGTGGAGAAATTTCTAATTATTTAAAGCACTTAACACTGTCTATGATAAACAAGATGCTTTTCAATGAATCTTATAAATTTTATTCAATCCTATTTTACATTAATTGTTATGTTCATTTTAGTAATCACTAAATTAAATTTAAAAAATTTTTAAACAATTCAAAACTATTTTCTTCAGTCATATAAAAACTAGAAATTTTCAAAAATACCAAACAATTTAAGTTTAATTAAATTTCAAGAAGTTAACAATTTTTCGACCTTTCTAACTTCTTCAAATTTAATATTTAATCTCCGAATGATAAATTTACTTCCTTCAATTTAAGTTTAACTTTGTGAAGAATAAAAGTTACTTTATTATAATTTTTTCTGTGAAGTTAATAAATAATTTTTTTAAATTTGGAATAAATGTTTTCTAGAAGTAAAATATATAAATCAAAGGCCATAATATATTTGACTAATTAAATAAATGATTAGTGATCACGTACTGTCAATTTTTATATTAAAGTTATGCTGGCAAACCACTTAAAATGATATATATATTTATAAACTCAAAGTATATTGTTTCCTGCGTGTATGTTATTATAATCTGATATTTGAGCCAACATTTATCTATTTACTGCTAAGTACACGGTTAACAATATAATAAATGAACAACAATGTTACCTTACGATATGAGATGCAAACAATAAGAATATTTATCTTATCACTTAAATTGTAACTTTTATATACATATTTGTGCGTGTATGTAATGTAAAATATTTCCCACAGTGGCGCAGTAGGAAAAATACGATTGGCATTTAAAATTGAACCAATTTTAGGGGGCCATTTTGACAAGGTCAAAAACTGATGAAAGTAAAACATTAAAATTCTCAAAACTAAAAAACTAATGTTTAGGATTTAGATTCCACTGGCCAACGAAATGTATAAATACGCTAAAATTTAGTTGAAATAACAATATTCTAAATAACTGCAACCTAAAATTTATATATATTAATTTTCGTTGCTCACAATCGAGATAAAGTGAACAGAGTATATATAAGAGTTAGTTGCTCATTGAAATTATCATGCTGGGGATTGTACATTAAGTCAAGTTCTTTATATCCACTGTTAATATTAGCCAAATATTTAAATTTTAAGACTTTCTATTGGTTTTTACATTCTTAGCATTGGGCCAATATTTGCAATAAAATTTGGTTCAATATCTATTCAATCGTTAGCCTTATAATAGTTTCCCATATTGATGATCAGTCTTTCTTTCATATCCAAAAGACTCACTGCTTTCTATAATAGAATTAAAAATAATTAATCATAAATAATGACATATTACTGCAAAGTGTATATAATGAGATGAAATCCGAATGACTAAAAGTTAAATAATCTTCTTCTTCTTCTTCTTCTTAAGTTTATTTAAAAAAGCAATGAATATATTGAAAAGATTAATTGTTATTAAATAAAAAAAAATCCGATTTGTTGTAATAAATAATAAATGATATTTTCTGATTCTGTCATTAAAGATTAATTTTTCTTCGTATGAGTAATTCGGAAATCGAAATTTTAGTATGAATCAAAGGAAACTCTGTATGTTAAGGGAACTAACACTCATATGACTGCTGAATATGCTGAATGATTTGAATTACGCGTTGAGATGGTGGTATGATAATGACGTTTTGGTGAAGCGTAAATGGAGTCTAATCTCTCAACTTTTATTGGGTCTACTTGGGGCGCAGATAGTACGGATTCGAGAACAAGACCGCCTTCTCAACGCGAAAGTCCTGAAAATTCCACTATTGATGATAGAAGAATCCAGGTTAATTCTATACGAGGTAGCTTCATTTTTCTAATATATAATGTAAATATTCATTAAAATGTAAATTAATGAATATTTATTCACTAAATAAACCACTAAATAATATAGTTTTTTAATCACATTAAAACAATATGATTAAATATTAAATATTCAATAAAATAAAACCAAATAAGATAAATAATAAAACCAAATAAATCCTAAATATATTTGTAGATTTTAAGATTCGTAAATAAAAAAGTTCGATACACTGCCAAAACAGTCTATTTTTCTTGAAAGGAATCTTTTTCTTCTTAATTTTCTTATTTTAAAGGGAAATTAGTTTTGTTTAACATTATTTTCCTGAATGTAGGAAAACATTTCTACTTTCCTTGAAATGTGAAATAAAGCAACGACCGCAATAATGGCTATATCTATTCCCAAAAGTTGAATGTCTTATTGACTTGCAATAGTTATAGGTGTTTCTCTGCGGTTCAGTTGAGATATAAATAAGACGAGAGGTTTGTTGATGAGGTTAGAGACTTGTGAATTTGTTATAGCAATCATAATGTAGATTCACAACTTACCAGCTGCAGAGGGTTTCTGCTGCAAATAAGCCTTATCAATTGTAAACCTATTGACAATTTTCAGCACCTGGAAAAAGAAATCATAATCATAAATCATTCAAAAATAAATAAAACTCAAAATTTAAAGAAAATTTTATATCAAAAAATGTTATGCCTTGAAAATATTAGATTGGAATTAAAAATTTTGAAACTTCGGATCTAAAATTTAGTTAAAATCATTAAAATATAACTTAAGGTGATATCAAAGTCGATACAATTCTTGCACAGAGCTTTAGTGGAAAAATTGCATCTTGTCACCTTCTCAAGCAAGTATTTTACTCTGTTAAATTTACAAAACACTTTTTTCATTTTCTACTTTTTGAAAACCTATGTCGTAGATAATAAGCTTGTAAAAGAAAATATATTCAGATCAAGTATCCTAAGTTATATGAAACGCGCCTTTATAGTGATAGAGTGAAGTGCTCCATGCGCTTCTGCACTCAATGAAATACTTACCAAATGGATGGTATGTATATAATTTTGGTTGAAACTTTTGTTTCAGTTGTCAGTAAAATATAGATTATGTTAGACATGATATTCGTAATGCTAGTCAGAATTATTTTACTAATCAAGAAAAGTTTCTTTCAGTGTTAAATGATAAACTGCTCATGGTCCAAAAAGGCAAATTATAACAAGAAAATTACTATGCAGAGAGAACTTTAGGGACTAAAATAATTAATTTAGTTGTCCGATACCAAAAATCATTCTAAATTTGTAATTTGACAATTATTTTATAGAGTGTAGGGCAGGTCAAAAAAACATTTTTTAAAGTAATACATTTTCTGAAAGCTTGTTTCTTTATGAAGTAAGTTTGCATAAGGATATCTTCAGATTAAAGCATAAATAAGTACCTTATTATAGTGCTACATTTTTCAAGCGATGCAAACAATAACCTGTAAAAAGTTTACAATACTTTTTTACTAGTTAGAGTTACACACAAACCAACTTAAGTGCGAAACACCATTACTACTTATTGTTTCGTCAAACATATGAATTACTATAATTATTCATTGCTCATGCCCTAAAAACAAAAAATGACTAAGTAATGTTCGGACAAGAATGGTTCCTGTCCAAAAAGTTTTCGTAATAGACAGAACTCTTTGTTCTCTTCTAGATATGAACCATTCCTGTCTAAAAAGGGTTCAGTAATGACTGGAAATTAATAGTTCATGTACCGACGTCCGACAGTAATGAGAACTGTCAAAATCAATTGTTTTCTTGGATAAGCACTATTTCTGTCCAAACATTACTTAGATGTCCAAACGACTTATGCTCTCATTGTAAATATAATTTGTATTTTATTGAGACAAACCCAAATTTTAATCTTAGTTCAGACACAATATGCAGACTTTAGGTGATATTTGTTTTGATGTTATTATTAAAAAAAAATTGTTATTTTAATTACAGCCCAGATCGAAATAATACCCTGCAAGGTTTGCGGCGACAAAAGCAGCGGGGTACATTACGGAGTAATCACTTGCGAAGGATGCAAAGGATTTTTCAGGCGGTCTCAATCGTCAGTTGTAAACTACCAATGTCCGAGGAACAAAAATTGTGTTGTAGACCGTGTTAACAGAAACCGCTGCCAGTACTGTCGGCTTCAAAAGTGCCTGCGACTCGGCATGTCCCGAGATGGTGAGTCCATTATGTTATTCATGAGTAAAACTATTTAACTCATCAATTTCAAAAATATAAAATCGGTAAATTTAAAAGTTTTGAAATTTAATATCAGATGTAGATGGAAATTAATTAAACATGTGCTACTAGAATAGCTTCTTCTATTGACAGAAATGAAACTTATGCATTTGCCATTAATTAGAAAATTTCTTGGACCTTTATTTTAAGGGGACACCCAAGTCACCTAAAAACAATGCAAAAAGAGTCAACTTTCGGTACACTTTTCTCGAAAACTATTATTCCAATTGCGTTCGCCCTTTTTTCATTCGATTACAAATATAATCAATTATATGAATAAGAAGTAATACGACGTTATCTCCAATAGAAACTTTTTTATGAATATTTATACCCAAAGCAAAATAAAAATCCCATTTTCTCTGATTCATTGACTCATATCTCCGTTTGAACAACTCAAAATGATGTTAAACTTCTTATTCGTATTCTTGGAACCATACTGAACAAAGTAAAAAAAAAATTACAAATCGGTTTAGTAGATTCGGAGAAAAGTGTATCGAAAGTTAAAAAATTGGAAAAAAACATTTTTACAGGAGACACGAAAAAAGAAAAAATACTAAAAACTCATGGTATTCAGAATCATGTAATCAGATTTTTTCTACTTTTCAGAAAAGGTTTTAAAAAGTCTTGTTCTATTCCTAATTGAGTCTACTTTTAGAAAATCAAATTTTAAAAAATCGATTTTTTGTCATTTTTCCACTTAGGTGTCCCCTTAAGGCATAGTTGTACTTGTAAAGTAAGAAAAGCTAACGCTATTCATGAAGAGTATTTGCTGTATACTGTACTTTTCTAAATTCATATACAGAGCAGAAAAAGTCTTAAAGATTAAACCTTAAATTTAATTTGAATGTAAGGAAACTCGCCGATGTCTTAAAAAAGGACTTGGTTTATTCTGGGTTTCAGAATTAGATTTCACAGTTGAAATAGACTGGGCACCTATCATCTTTCGTAGTATTTCAACAAGATTGTCGCCAAAATTTCTGCAGCATGGAATGTCTAAATCTTGATTTAGCGGAATCCTCTAAATTTTTAGTTTTAGTTTATTAACCATCAAAGAATAAAAATATTCATTAATCAAGTGGAATATACTTTTGTTTCGAGAGCATATTAGAACAGAATTTTTCCCCTAAATGTGCAAATCCAATGCATATTAGAAGTGCATAAACAAAAAGTACATTAAATAAACACACTTTAACGTTAAAGAGCATACACAACACGGGAACATATTTTTTACGCATTTCTTTTTGCAGTGATAATGATTCTACACTGATTAGAGATAGATAATAATTGAATAATTATATTGTATGTAGAATATTTGAAATTTTTGAGTTTAAAACTTATGATTGTGGCACGCGTAATAAGCGGGGTGTACGACCCCTTATCAGTCAAGTCCCTTCCCGCTCCTGTTCGTATTCTTATCAAAGTGAGTTATATTATTTCACGTATATATATGTCATATATAAAAGTGAAAGTGTATGTTCAAAATTATTTGAAAACATTTCAGTTTTTGAAAAGAATAACAAAAGTTTTTTCTAATCTTCAGAATTTTACTTGAAATTTTCGTTCAAATAACACTTAGTCTCTATAAGGAATCAGTTAAAACTGACTAATATCGAAGTAAAAAATCAGTTAAACATGTGATTAAACATGTGACTTTTATAATCGATTCAAATTCAGGGATTACTTTTGTTTAGTATTCTATAAATCAGAATTAGTAGTTCTCTACTATAATTAAAGAGTGTTGATTCATTGACCAATTAAATAGTAAGGATTTTACTAAATTCGAGTAAAGTAACTGCTAATTTTATAGGAAAATTTTATTAACTAACGTAGTAAAGCTATACTATTTCAGTTTTAATTTTATACGGTATTAGAGTGTATATTTTATAAAATTAGTAGTTTCTATTAAAAATTAGTAAAATCCTTACTATTCAATAAATTGGTAAACTGTTCAATTAATTTTACATAATATCGATTTCTTTTTTGCATATTATTTAATTAATATGACTGATGACTGACATTTACAACATATTGACATGTATGTACTGCACCGGAAAAAATATTGAAAATATTCTTTTTAATTTAGTAACATTTGACGAACAGAAATAGCATTGCAAACACAGCAATTGATTCTGCAAAAAAGGGAACTTTTGCTTTCTTTAATAAACTTACTCATATATGACATGTATAATTTCTGTAGTAACTATAGCAAAGATTACTATTTTTACAGAAACACTTGCCGTATTGACAATATGCTTTGATTATTAAGCAATAATTACTAAATTAAAAATAACTTTTCAGTGTGTACAAATTAAAAACTTTTTATGTATTTAATTGTTAGTATTGTTTGTTTGAAATTGAAATTGTTCCCTTCTCATAATAATAATATTATCTCGAAATAAGAATATAGATGCTTGCGTTATGATATTTCTGTCGTTGGTGTCGATCTATTTTTATAATCGGCTCATTCTAAAATGTGAATAGGTAGTTGAAGCAGTCGCAGTCTATAGGCAATATTCTCGCACACTGCATATACATAAATACACGCATTTAGTGATAAGGCGTCGCGACTGTATAGTGCTACTGCGGCGCTATATATAGCGCCAGAAAATGCATCGTGCGGCCAACACGCGTGTTCTTCCTGATGGTGTCTCACTCTCTTTATCTCTGTCTCTTGTCCCGGTCGATCACCTTTTGCCTCCTCTTCTATATTTCTCTTATAACTTCTTCTTCGTCTTCTTCTCCCTCATCATTTAAAGTTTCCCCACTTTTTTGTGCCATCCACCCATGTCAACTGCTCTTATCCCCTCCTCCTCTCAACCCCCTCGCAGTTGAGAACTCGACTGACGTCACACGCTACTAATTCTTCATTCTTCTTTGCCCCCATGATCATCCAAGTACTGCTGCACCATAACATGTTGCCGTGTGTGCACACACATGCAAACCTTTCCTTCGTGCGTCTGTATGTACTACGGCTCGTAGCGGTTTGCAGAGGTGTGTGACGCATTTGCGTCGTCTTGTGACGTCACGCCGAGCAAGTCAGTTGGTTCCGCGTTCTTCCTCTGCGCATGCGCACCCACTGACGGTCTTTAAATGCATGCACTATCCATATATTGGTGATTGACCTCAAATCAATACAATCTGTTACATAGATCTAAAATCACTATAACTTCTTGTTACTATCAATATCGAACTCTGTCTTGACTTATTATGATTCTTTTATGGTATGCATTTCGGCAATTAAAAGTAGATTCATTTTCCTTAGCATAGGTACAGACAGCAGACACCTCTTCTTTTTAATAACACTTATTTTCAAAAGCATGGTTCAAGAAAAAAAGGGGCCTTATACATTATTTTACTTAATCTATTTCTTACAAACTAAGATAAACAAATGATTATATTCTTCCGAGAGCGTATATTAGAATTTTCGTCAAAAATCGTCATTTTGAACTCATGGAATTGACGATTTACGGCGATAGAGTTAAGGATAAATTATATCATCAGCAGAGGGTTAAATTCCTTCCATCTGATACATTGAATATTTAATACTGATTACAGATTAATATACATAAAAGGATAAATTTGTTCTAAACCAATAATATTGTTTCAGCTGTAAAATTCGGTCGAATGTCGAAGAAGCAAAGGGAGAAGGTCGAAGATGAAGTTAGATTTCATAGGGCGCAGATGAGAGCAGCATCAGAAACTGCGCCTGATAGTAGTGTATTTGAACATCAAACACCAAGCAGCTCAGATCAACATCACTCCTATAATGGCGGGTTGGTATTATTTTATATTTATAATTTTATATACAAATCAACAAACATACGTATTATATGCATATTGATAATGTAATTGTATTTTCCTCGCAGTTATACTTATGGGAGTAGTGAGTACACCTCGTCTGGTCCTGGTACTGGGAATTCAGGTTATTATAGTCATGGGGCTATTACTAATTACGAGCTTAGTGCAGACTATGTCGACAGTACGACGGCCTATGATCCTCGACCGACACCGACTCAAGTCGACACAGTCACACCTGATACACCTTCCGTCAATGCGTCGGGTGTAATTCCTAATGTGGTAGCCTCCGGTGAGTTTTCAAACAACTTGATAATATGTATCAAGTTTTATACTTTTAACAAGTTTCTTTATTTTGTTTTTGTCTGGTATATAAAGCTTAAATTTAAAAAAAATAAAGAAACACTATACACTGTAAAAAAGGGAGTTAAATTTTAACTCCCCAGGGGATTCTATAAAAGTCGCACCCATTGGGGAGTTAATGCCAGGGGAGTTAAAAAAAGAGAGTTAAAATTTCACACTCAAATGCTAACTCCCCAAGGAAAAAATAACTCGCGCGGGTGTTGAATGAAGGGAGTTACAAATTAACTCTCTTTTGGAGTTGATTTTTAACTCGAAAAATTTCACTCCCAACTCCCGAGTCCGTTAACTCCCTAAATTTTTTACAGTGTAAGGATCTTAAAAACTGTGAGATTACTATTTTAGTTAAATGATTAATCTTCTTGTCAGAGTAAAAATTTGGACTAGTATGGGTCTACGTAGAATGAAAGCTCTAAATCTCATATCTTAAATTTTCCATGAGAGGGAAAAGGATAGAACATCTTCTGTCCTTTTCTAGAAAAAGGTAAACGATATTTCCATCCTTTTTTTTGTCAAGTAATAATTAAGATGTAATAAGATTTATAAGTTTTATTTTACTTTGGAGTTATATTAGTCAAAATTCGGTTTAAAATGACATATATTCTTTACAATCCATCGAACTATTCTATTTAAAAAATTGAATTAAAAACCTATTTTCAAGACTTTATTTAAACACCCTTAAATCGTAAATTGGATAATTTGCCATTTTAACTCATCTCACTTACCTATTTATAAATTACAATATACCAGATGAAAACAAACACAACTTTTATATACAACAGTGCATATGTTAAGGGTTTAAAACATCAAGTATTTTCTGGATTATATTAACATTATTCGTACTATCAGTAAATCTTATTCAGGGTGGTCACAAGTTCTAGTTCATCAATTTCCCTGACAATTTACTGACATTAACATTTCTTTCCCTGACAAAATTCTTTTTACAGGAAAATATGAATGTTTACAGAAAATGAGTAAAATTTATGAATTTTAAAAATTTCTAAAAATTACAATTATAACCCTTTTTGATTTCAATTAATTTCTACAATTTTCAACTACGCTTCATCTCTGAATCAATTAATTTAAATAATTTTCCAAAAGTTATCTTCTAGAATTCAATTATTTAAATACAAAAACTTAATTTTTTATAATAACTGTAATTCTCCATAATCAAATTTTTGAAGAATTTTAATTATAAACATGATCATGATTTCGCAAAAATAAGTTCAAAAAGTGAATTTTCATAAATTTGTATTTACATTCTTTGAAGATATTTGAATCTTAAAAAAATTATTAGAAAACAATTCTAATAATTAGTTTTTAAAAATATTTTAATGTAATTTTTCGAAAATAATTGAATTTTTTTAAAGAATTTTTATATAATTTAAAAAACTATAATTAATTTTTTTGAAGAATTTTAATTAAAAATTTTAAACACGATTTTTTTCTCCAAAATGTTAAAAATAATTATAAAATGTTATTATTTTTTGTATTATATATTTTTTGAATTTTCGGAAATATGTAATTGAAAATATATATACTTAAGGGGGAGTGACACCTTTGAGGCCTCTTTTGAACCTGTTTTTCATGAATTTTTTTAAGACACGGGAATAAAATAAACAAAATTTGGTTTTGAGGGATTTATTTGTTAACTTTTTAAGTTTACAAAAATATATTTATACGTAAAAAAAGTTTAAATTTGTTGCCTATAGAGGGCGCCGAAATTGGTCTACATTCTCTGCAGAGCAAATCGGTGGGCAAGATTCCGGTTAGACCGTTTAATCTAAATCAAAAATTCAAAGTTTTTCTGAATCTGAGATAGATTTAGCTTTCGAGTACGTAGGATATTTTAAAAATATTAATTTTTGTGTATTTGGCAGTTGTTCGAAGTAAAAAGTCGATTTTTAGGGCGAAATTTTGTCAAAAAATCTGTTGCCAAAAAAAAAAACAAAGAAACCAAAAAAAACCGCTACGTACTCAAAAGCATTAGTAAATGAGAATTAAAAAAAACTTTGTCCGAAGTCAATCCGATCAAAACTGTTCCTGGCTAGACTGCCCACCGTTTTTAAAAACGTCATTTCGAGAAAAACGCGTTTAAAGTTTTGAAAGCACTTGAAGCGCTCTTGGACACCTTTTACAGATTTTGATTTTTTCCACATAAAATAACTCCGAAATCATCTCTAATGATATAATTTCTATTCTACACATTATAAAGTATCGTTTAAGCAAAGAAAAAAAAATTCGATTTTTTTTCGGGTCAAAGGTGTCACTCCCCCTTAAAATATTGAATTTTAAAAAATTAGAACTTAATTTTCATTAGTTTTCATTTTTAAATTTACTTCATTAAAATTTTTGATAAATTCAATTCTTTTCCAAAATTTACAATGAAAATTTTTCAAAAGTTGATTTTCAAAAATTGTAACAAAACACTTGGAAAAAAATACTTGAACAATTATTTTCAATTAAATTGTGCAAAATTTCAATTATTCAAAAAGATTTTTATTATAGACATATTTAAAAAATGTAATTATCTTCAAAAATGATTCAAAAACAATTTTTAAAAGCTTTGTTTATAGTTATTTATTGCATTATAAAAATCAAAGTAAGTTGTATACTTTTTCACTAAAAATTGTGGTATTTTGTTGCAATGTTTTGAAGAAAAGTCGAAAAACGTCTGAATTTTCTTAACTTTTCTGACAAAAAATTGTTTTCCTGACATTTCTCTGACTTTACTGACATGTGGCCACCCTGCTATCGTTGGTTCAAAATTGGCCTTCAGATGAAGAAAATTTAAACCAACTTTATGATTCAATTTAAAGAAAACAGAAATTATTATTAATAGATGTATTTTAATAAAGATCGCCTAATGATGCGTTAAGAGTTTTTTTTAAATTAAAAGTGTCACGAACATTTAAATATTGCATTGTCTTAAGGGGATGTCAAAGTCAATGCAATTTTTAAGAGCTTTATTAAAAAAGTTGCTTTGTCTTTAACAACCCCTTATTATTTTTTCTTTAATTCTTACTACATAAGTTACTAAATGCGTATTATTCAATCATTGCATAGAACTTAACTAAAAGCTCTCATTCGATAGACTTGAAAGCTGTTGCTTTATAGTTGGCATTTTTTATTGTATTCTTTTAAAAATAATAGGAAAATCCTTGTCAACTACGACAACCGGAAGTGGTGCAGGAAGTGGTGGCAATGGTAGTAGCAGCGTTGGAAACAGTGGAGGAGGTGGTAATGGCGGTGGTAATGGTGGTGGGGGTGGCGGTAGCGTTAGTGGTGCAGGTGGTGGTTCTTTGAGCGGTGGAGGAATTGTGGCTGTCAAACAAGAGTCTACGGTCGAAATAGCCAACCTTGGACATGGTTCCTACACAATGGTCGACTCGACAACATTTCTGAGCAGTCAGCAGCAGAGAGTCAACAATCCAGAAGACGATGAAGAGCCCAGTATGTCCCATGCGAGATGTGAGGCTATGTCTGTGTCCATTTGCATGAGCATGTCTGACTTAAATAGCCTATTTCCACTTGTGTCCCACCCTTCACGTCAAGCCCTATAAATCTACATACCTGCAATTGATTATCATTTCTTCAATTCTATTCAGGGGTCTTCGCACTTTCACTGCTGTAGCCCTTTATTTTTTCAATGTTTAAATTCGAGATCAGTTTCATATTTTTTTTCATTTTTTAATGCATTTATATATTGAGAAATTCGACATCAAGCTTGGGAGACCCTTGAAGTTTTCTGTCATTGTCTTGCATTTTTTATTTTTTGTGTCAAGAGTGTAATGTGTGTGATCTTTCGAGTTTGAAATGCAGAAATGCGCAATGTTTCTAAAGTTTTCGCACCCTGCGCACACTATCAAAATTTCTCTTTGCATGAATAATGAGATGTAACATGAGATGATAACATTAATGTATGAAACATATATTATATTTATTATCAGTGTTTGTCGCGATGTTACACGCTTAGTTGGTAATATTGACGATATGCGGAATGCAACATGTAAAACAATTTATTTCTTCTGTTCTTGCAGACCCAGCACAAATCAATGAATTGCTCTCAAAAACAATATCCGATGCACATGCGAGAACATGTTTCCATACTACTGAACAAATTCAAGAAGCCTTTCGCAAGCCTCACGATATCACCAGGTTACTCTACTATAAGAATATGGCTCACGAGGAACTTTGGCTCGAAAGTGCTCAGAAATTAACAACAGTTATTCAGCAAATTATCGAGTTTGCTAAAATGGTGCCAGGCTTTATGAAGCTCTCGCAGGATGATCAAATTGTCCTTCTTAAAGCCGGTAAGTATGCTGTGCGCAAATAAATGATTCTTTTTTAGAAAACCATGAATAGTTTAGAAACCTACATGTTCTTTATTTTTTAGGTTCATTTGAATTGGCTGTGTTACGTATGAGCAGGTACTTTGATCTGCAACAAAATTGCGTTCTCTATGGTGATGCCTTGCTGACTCAAGACGCGTTCTATACTAATGATACAACAGAGATTAAGTTAGTTTCTCACGTTTTCGAAGTTGCGAGAAGCGTGGCTGAGTTAAAACTCACTGAATCAGAACTTGCGCTCTACAGTGCTGCCGTTCTACTTAGTCCTGGTGAGTCAGTTTGCAAGAAAGAAATAGATAAATAAATAAATTTTCTCTAAATTTCCAAATTCATGTTTCAATGACAATTGCTAATTCCTTGTTATCAGATCGATCGGGATTAAAAGGATCAGGAGAAATCACGAGGCTTTATCAGGCTGTGATCAGAGCATTAAGGACCGAATTAGACAGAAATCACGTGTCGCCAATTAAGGGTGATGTTACAGTATGTGACGCAATGCTCGCGAAAATACCCCAACTACGAGAAATCTCGAGCATGCACATGGAAGCCTTAGCAAAATTTAAACGGTCGCAACCTCAACTGGAGTTTCCGGCCCTTCACAAAGAGCTGTTTAGCAGTGACAGCTGAACAAATGAAGAAGCAGCGCAGGGTGACCCGACGCTGACAGACAACGTAGAATGCAAGTGATCCGGGGCCTTGCTCTGTCAAGGTATTGCACTTGTTTCTCAAATCACATATCTCACCCAACACCTAAAAACTTGGTCCTAAAAACTATTTTTCTTCTTGTTCCAGATTATTTTCTTCGTAATGAACATATTGGGCCTTAATTAAACATAATATTGTTATATATATATATATATATAGAATATATAAGAGCAATATAAAAAATATATATAAACATATACATGTATGTATACATAGTGCTATATGTAAGAAAAACGTGTCATGTATACATAAATGTACATGTGTATTAAAGAATATATATGTATTTATATATATACACCCCTGAGCGTATAAATATATTTACATATATAAATGCGAGCTATTGGTTGTTATGATAGATTCATAAAGATTATATTATTGACTAATATGTTTATAAAGCTGGCTAGGTCGGTTTTAGAATGATAAAATTATTAGGCTCTAACCGGGAAACCTGATTCGATCAGTGAATCGCCAAATACCGCAGTGAGCATATGTAAATTTTATATTATTTTATTAATTTCCAATTGGATAATTTTTGTAACGATGCTGTGTAATCAGGTTTCTTCTGTGAGATGTATGTATATGTATGTTGTCCTAGAACCGTTCTCGCCAATACTGAATACATACAAGTAGTTAGTTTTAATTAAAAAGTTTTGGTTAACGCACTTTAATGATGCGCTTCATAATACGTAAATATTACTTCCTGCGAGTCCCATAATTCACAAACTATATCTCAATTCGTTTTCTGTGCATACACTGTACATTCGTTTATTAAAAGTTTAAAAAAAAAACCTTTTGAAAAATGATGTTTCAAACCTGACGAAAAGAATGTTTCCTAGTTTTATTATAAGGAAAATGTGACGAGCAATTTTGGCATATATGAATAGAATAAATTAGCAATCGCTATTGTATTGCATAATATTAATAAAGCTAATACCTAAAAATGTGTATACGTAAATACATAAATAGCAAAGAGTAAGGAAAAAGTAAAGTTTTAAGCTTATTTTATGTTGTGAGGAAAAGACTATAGATGGGAAGAAAACTCATTTTCTCTCTCACCTTAATAATTATATCTCTAAATTTCGTAAAGTGGATATGTTTCGGTTGGAATTTCAATATTAGTACTAGACGAGTAATTTTCGAAATTATATTTTGTATCCAGAAAACGAGTTGCATTATACAAACAAACGATTGTATTGTATAAATTAGAAGAGCTAATTACGCAAACGTTTTTGTTATAATAAATTGCGAAATGAAAATAATGAAAATAATCGATATACTTATTAAAGATTGGAAGTAATGTTTGCATGTGCGATGCGTAAAAACAACTAGCAAGGAGTATCGATATGTAGGTAGAAGTGCGAGTTAACAGAAAAAGAAAAAAAGAAGGAAACGAAGTGAATATTATTATCTTATTGATTAACGATTAAATAGAGTTCATTTACCTGTAGAAAACACAAATTCATCATACACAAACGGAGTATGATAACACCCACGTTGCAACTAGGAGTTATTATGCAATTTGCAGTTAAATTTTATAATATATATGTACATACATATACACACACGCATGAGGATGAATATGCGTGTATGTATATGTATATATTTAGAAAATAAACGAAAGTTGACGGATAATATACAGTTATAATTGATGCTTGAGGTAACCATTTTCGAAGAATGTGTGATATATCCATGTCTTTTTTATACTTGCCCGCTTTTCTTATCTTATATATAATAAAATAAAGATTAAAAAATAATAAGAGTAATGAATAAAAACGATTGCCTTTGCAGTTTCTTCCTTATCATTCTTTCAAACTTTCAAATCGAATCGAATCGCTAATTACTAAGTCATCGAAGATGGTCATCTCTTGCGCAGGATATATAATATAAGTACGCATATTGGTAAATCGTTAATGATATTGTTGCGGCCCTCGCGATGGTCCCTGGGCGCTCATCAAAAGTAGACGATTATATTCTGTTTGGCTGATAATGAATTTCAAATTACGAATCAGTGAAAAGGACCTTGGCAATCGGACCAATGAACAAATTCGTTCGACTAAATTTAAGTGAGCAATTTTATCTCGCGATTCCATCGATAAATTTTAGCGAATCGCGAATCGCGAATTACGATTAGTGAATTTTTGGTATGTCAAGAGTAATAACATTTTTTTTTTTCGTTACGAAAAAATCTAATTTTTATCTTGTATATCACCTTTAGACTTAAATAATCTCGTTTAACTATATTTAAATGATTTAAAATTGAAATTAAATTTTTATATTGGATGAAAGACTTATATTACCTAAATTAATATGAAGTAAAGTTACAGACTTAAAAAATTGGATAAGGCATAGTGTGAAAAATTGTCAATGAGATAAATAAAAGTAATTATTGTTTAAATTGTAACGTAAAAAATCTTTTACCTGCAAATGCTATTTAAAATGTTTAATGAATAAAAAGTTTTGTAAATATTCTGTAAAGTCACTATTGTTGTAGTAATGTCTTTTAACATTGATGTTTTAATGACAAATATTTCTTACATTTTATATGACTTGCTATTTTAGATTAATTGTTTGAATTTTACAAGAAACAGTTTTTTTCAGCGCGAAATATTATATCTATTTCCTGTCATTTTGTCAGTAGTGATACAAAGACATTGTTTTGTGATTTATAAGCAAATCGCTTACGAGTGTGAATCCGAACCTGGAGAAATTACAAAACAAAAGTTTCGCTTTGCCAGCGTTGATCGTCCTGGCACAGGTATAACTAATCAGAGGCACTTATTTATAGATATACATATATGAATATATGTGTGTGTATATTTGTATGCGTACAAATATAGACACATATATGCAAAACATGTACACTTACAATTAATATTACGTTAATTCAGTACCTGTGGTTGTTGTAAAATATTTAAGGAGGGAAAAAGAACGTGAACAAGAAAAGTATGAAAATTCATTTAATTTATTGCGCGCGCTTCGAGATGGAGATTTTTAGGTTGAAAGTGAGACTTTTGTTTTAACGTGTAAGTATGGTGCGTGCGAAAGTTCAGGAGGCTTCAAATGAAAAATAAGTATATCCTCTTGTACTTCAATGTAATAGTAAATTAATTAATTACTTAATGTAAGTTAACGGTTATTATAAAAAAACAATAATAAATAAATAAATGAAAACACGAGCGGTGGACCATCGTGCATCGCCTACTTACCCCTTCATTATATTAAGTATTTAACAGTGAAAAGAAGGTAAATGAACCGGAGCTTTCGCCCTGAAACAGAGTATGTTGGTGTAAATGTAAAAAAATGGCAATTGACTGTAAAGAATGAATGAATTATTTGAAGAAATAAAAAACATCGCTAACTACCTATACTGTAATTTTGGATGCACACTATAATAGTTACAGTAGGAACCGCTTATAACTAGATTCAAAAGTTGGTGAATAATTTTTGTTCGTACATTCTCTATGTAAAAAAAATGACCTTTTAATTTTAAAAACATATTTAGTAAAATTTACAGTAATTTTTTTCAGAGTACTTGAATGTTTGTGTTGCTTATAACAATCCTTAATAAAGTACATTTTTTAAAATAAACAGTAATGCAAGTTTGATTCTTTATCCTCCTGTTTCAGTGAGGAGAATTGGAATCAAACTATTTGAAGCAGATAATATTTGACAAATTCTTGTTTTTTCAAACACTTAATTTGTTGGTGTTCGTTTTTCATTGTTAGAAGCAAATAGTAACTTGACTCCAGTAAGTAATAATTTTATTTAAATAAATTAACAATCACCTTGAAAGCGACTTTGTTATAAACGGTTCCTACTGCATAACAGAAAGCTCTAAAACATTCATCTTTTTATTTTTCTCAACTTTTTGATACAGTTTTATGCCGAAACTCGTTTCCTCCATGTAGTGTTACATGTCGCTTTGGGCCTCATGGAGAAAACGAGATTCGTACCTATAAGAATTTACCAAAACGTTTAAGGTAACGAAAATAAATACGGAACAGAAATTCCCCCTAGTTCCAGATGAGACTATTTTTCCGGCGCATATAGTTATTTATTAAAATTTCCATCAAACAAGTTTTTATTTTTAGAAAATCAATCTTTATAAATATAAACCTGTATAAAAAATTGTTTCAATGCACTCAATCTGAAACAAATGGTATCCGACTTCTCCAAATCGGAAATTGCTCAATACCTTCTTCTTTAGTTTAAATTTAATTTCAGTTCAAGGGAATGCAAATACTTAGTTATAAACAAAGCAAAGGATTCACATTACTGAAAAAAGATATATAACTTAATTTAGAAAACGAAATAAAGTGTTTCACTTCTAATTTGCAACAATTTTAAATCGGTTTTTGATAATTTTCAAAGGGGATACTTTATAATGAATTCCAATTAATTTTCATTAAAAAAGGCGCGCAAAATAATTTTAAATAATATATAAAACTGCCTTATGGATAATCAATTTTTGAGTCATATTTATGCAATTCATTTTTCTATTGTAAAGTCTGTTACTTTAATTTGAATCAGAGAAATTTTCACTAAATTCTAACTAATCAATAATCAACTAGTATGTTCCTTAATCATTGAAAATTCACCAATTGAGAAGAATTTTAAGGTAGAAAGTGATCCATAATTTAGAAGGCAACATTTTTAAGACATCCTACACTGAATTTTACTGTGCAATGAGAAGTGTGACATGACTTCTCAAAGAGATTAAAAATTTAACATTTTTACACTCACTGAAATGATTTCTAATGGTAGTATACATTTCGCCTAAATATTTATGTTCTTACTATTCTCATTTGGAAAAATTGATGGTATGTATTGCTTTTAGATCTGAGCTTTTTACTTCATAATATTTATATTATACTTACACCTTTATTAATGACCTCCTTCAATAAACAAACAGTGCACGTTAATACTTCTAGTCTGCTAGTGAGTATCTATAGAGTTTTCAAAATAATGTGATAAAGCAAGTTTGTTTTTTGAAATTGATTTTGAATGAAAGTTCTGTAAAAATATTCAAATTTAATAAGAATAAGAAGAAGGAAAATATCGTTTGGTTCAAAATTCAGTTAAAGCAAACTAATGTTGAATTAGTAAAAATGTTTACTAATTTGAATATTAGTCAGTCACTAATTGAAATTAGTAAAGATTTTTACTAATTCAAATTTAGAGAGTAGTTTCAGTTATATAGTAGTACCACGGTTATATTAATATAAGTAAATAATTTATTAAAATGTCAAAATTTTTCGTATAAACCGACAGATGGTATAAATTTTATTTAATATTGATGAAAATACTTATTAATTTCTCTACAATGACATTTCAATAAATGTTATTAAAAATGAATTCAATTAGTCACTTTAATTGTGAATAATTTTAGGTCGTAAAATTAGTTGCTTAATCTTAAAGTAAGCCAATATTAAGGATAATAACAAATATTTTATAATGTTTTTAAATTTTAATGTACTTCGTGTTATTATTGTTCATTCAATAGGACATTGATCGGTGTGCAACGAACGATACTTTCCTTTGACAAAAGTGTAGTTCTCAAAGTTACCATGGGAACATACAAGTGAGACACGTTCGTCCGAAGTAGATATCCCTAGCTGTCTCACTCTTGTATATCACCATGTCGACGCAACCATGCTGTAGAAATGTGACCGCACCTTAAAGGCCTAAAGGTCAACCCACAATAGATTTTTTGACAGAACGCAATTTAATTCGTAAATTACTTCTCATTTAAAAAAAAAGAATATTTTGCGTTGAGATTTTGTGAAAATAATAGAAGAAGGTACACTGATTTTAACTCTTCTCGATATATTACAAAAATTTTTAAAATAATTGTTGAAACATAAACTCTTCATCAACTCGAAATTGTAATATCATCATTTTAAGCATTCCTGAAAAGGCAAATAAAAAAATATCTCAGTAAATGATAATTCTAATAATATTCTACATTATCATCATCATCATCATTATCACTCCTGAAGACTTCTGATTCGTAATAGCACTTCTGATAGTTTTTGTACTATGCATTTCTAAAGTTAATTTTAGTGCAATTTACTTGGAAAATGACAATAATTGCTAAAAATTAGTAGAAATTTCAAATAGTTAAAAGTTTTAGTTTTAAAATATTTTCTGCGTGCAATCATCTCCTGAACCGCACTTAACAGTGGAGAGAAAGGAGGGGAAGTTTGAGGACGCAGTCCCATGGCAGCGTTTTGAGTTGCGTTGTAATAAGAGAGAATGCAGCAAACGTATATTTGCGTCTTTTTCTCTCCCATTACGACGCAACGCAAAACGCTGTCATGGGACTCCACCCTGAAGCATGAGGATGTAGAAATAACAGGGATCGTACTACAATTCTGAACTTTACCCCTCTACATTGTGCTTGTTGTCTATGGACTGAATCTTCCGAACACGTTATTGAACCATTGCATTTAATAAACTAAAATAATTCGGTAAGTCTTTAAAAATATTACTGGTTTTAAAAATAATAAATTTAAATTAATTTAAAATTGCATACTAACTTATTCTAATTGATTGCTATAAACTAAACTGTCTAATGATAGTATAATAATCAAATTGAGGATACCGGATGCGGTGTTGATTTATTATAAACAATCACTATTTTCTTAATGAAAAGATAGTATTATAATAATTACAATTTTTTTTAAAGTTTAAAGAATATCTTAATATCTTCTTTAACGATGAAGAAAGAAAATGCTTTTTTCTAAAATAAACTTCATATTATAACTCGAACATGTTTTATCCAATTTTAGGAACATAAAAATAAACGTTTATAAACGAAATTTATTTATTTCTTCTCCAAATTTAAATTTTATTACGTAGCAAAAAAATTAAATGTAAAGTTTCTAAATATTAAATTAAAATTTTTAATTTTTATTGCAATCAATACTTTCTAAATTTGAATTATACTAAAAACGTTTACTAATTTAAATTAGTGACTAACTTTTTGCTTTTGAATTAGTAAATTTGGCTAATATATTAGTGGAAATTACTATTTACTAATAAAATTAATTGAATAAAATTAATTGAAAAGCAAAAAATCAGTGACTAATTCAAATTTAGAGAGTATGGAAATATTTTCAAATTTCTAAAGAAATTATTTTATATTAAAATGTTTTATGTTTACAGACATGAAGAATAAAACAAAGAAACGAAGTATTGATGAACTGGGAGGAGAAGAAGATGTAAAGAATTCAAATGAAGGTCAGAAACAGAAAAAAATGAAACAACCTCATCTAAATCCTGAAGGAAACCACATCAGTAAGAAAAAGAAATCTAACTTAACGGAAATTTCTCAACCTAATAATACATCAGTACTTAAAAAAACAAAAAAGAAGAAAAATCTTGAAAATACGGAGAAATTAAATAAAAATAAATCCTCAACAAATTCTTGTGATGACGAAGTTAATGTTAATAGTGATGAGGTAAAAAATGTGCAAATAAAAGAAAAAATAAAAGATCTAAAAGCTAGGCAAGCGAAACGGGAAAAAAGAAAACAGATGAGGAAAGATCATGGTCAGTTTAAAGTGCGTGATGTACCTTTAGAATCTATACAAGCAAAAATTGCTGAAATTGAAGGTCGAGAAAACATAAGTAAAACTGCAAAAAGAAAGTTACGTGCGTTCAAAAGGAAGTTACTCGATGTGCAGGGAATTTCATCACCACCATCGGAAAAACCAAAACTCACAAAGAGTCAAAAGAAGATGATGAAACAGGAAAAATCTAAGTTACAAACTGTTGATAAATCAGAACATAAAGATGAAGAATCTTCTGAAGAAGATAATTTAAGTCAAGAAATTGAAACTCTAGTTGTTAGTAGGAATGAAAAAATTAAAAAAAAAGATGTCAAATTAAATAAGGCAAAAAGTTCATTAAAATCAGAGAACAAAAAAAAATCCCAGACTGCAAAGAACAGTAAAATATTAATTGAAAATAAAGAAGACTCAAGTGAGGAAGATAACGAAGAAAGTGAAATGGTTGAAAATGAAAGTGAAGATGATAGTCCTGAAGAGTCTAGTCAGTTGATGGATGAGAATGAGAGCAATGCAAGTGACGAGGAAGATAATTCCAGTGACAAAGATATTCAACAAAATAATGAAATGAAGGAGTTGAAAACTGAAAGTTTAAATAACACAAAAAATGATGATTTGAAAAAAACTGTTCAAAAACCAATCAAACAAAAGCAACAGAAAAATGATAATAAAAATGCTTCAAAACAAGAAGGTTCGGAGAAGAAGAAGAGATACGTATTATTCGTTGGAAATCTTCCATTCCAGTTAGTAAATTTTATTTAATATAATTTTAATAAAAAATTTTAAGAAAAGCAGTTAAATATTTTATTTCTATTGCAGATCAACTGTTGAGGATATAAAGAAGCATTTTCTACAAAAAGTCAGTCAAGTCATTAGTGTCCGTATTCCAACCGAAAAAGGATCAAAGAAGCCACGTGGTTTTGCTTACGTGGAAGTTACCAACAGCGTAGACTATGAGGTAAATTCACAATTATTTATCAAATACAAATACATTTGACTCCATAATGATAATTATTATTAATATTTAAAAAAACAAATTTTAATTCTTTCTATTTGGCCTAATGGCTTCAGTATGCTTGATGTTAGAAATTCAATATGACGCATTTCAATACCACCTACTGTTTTTTTTTTAATTTTTTAAATTTTTATTCTATATTTTACTAAAAATTAAAATTTTAAATTAAACATTCTGTAGCTGAAGTTTTATTCACGCTTATTCACCCCTTTTAAAAATATTTAAAAAAATAAAAGTTTTTGAAAAAATTGTTAAAGATAATAAGCAGCAGACAAATATAAATATTAATTATTTAAAAATTATACAATTTTACAGAAAGCACTGTCTCTACATCACACAAATCTTCAAGGCTTCAAAATAAAAGTGGAATACACTCAAACAGGATCAAAGAACATCAAAAATAAACAAGAAGTCGTAGCAAAAAATAAAAAATTACACGCACTTCGCAAAGCAGGACTATTAGCGGGAAGTAAGAAACGAAATGATCAACGTAACTTTCGACGAAAGCACTTAAAAAATCAGGGTTCTGAAATAAAAAGTACAGCTAATTAGAAATCTTGTATTTATAAGTTCTCTAATTTTGTAATTTCCGCAATTTTCTATATTCGTATATATGTAAATGTATATAAGTGTAAATTGCAATATTCTGCCTTATGCCATAAAAAATTTACTACAAACAATTAAACTTTATTTCTTAAAATCAGAGCTTTTTTAATCATAAGGGAAATTGACAATTATTAACATGGAATTTATTAACATTAATATTATTCATATAGGAATATGTAAAGAGCTGTGATTTATTAAAATAAAAAAATAAAATCTCCTTACCCCTGGTGGGACTCGAACCCACAATCCCCGGTTTAGGAGACCGATGCCTTATCCATTAGGCCACAGGGGCTGTTACAAGTTTTCATGAAAATACACCGTCATCATTTCATAGAAATAAAGTACCAAATTTCAATTTTCAAAAAATTTAGTATAATTAAAAAAAACTTAATTTTATAACTTGTAACTAAAAAGTAGCTAAAGGGGCATGTGAAAATATAATTGATTTAATTTTCTAATACATAGTGTAATGCTAAATTACAATATTAGAAAACTGCGCATTCTAAAATTAATGTTGATTTATTAAAGAAATCATTGTCATGGCAACCAATAGCAATTCGATCCTTTTTTTATAATTTTTGTCTTATAACGATTAAATTCCAAAATATATATTTTAATTAGGTGACTAAATTTTTGTATTTATTTTCTAATAAGAAAGAAAATTTTTGAATGCGTCTGCGTGTACCTAATTTCACATCTTTATCTTCCTTAGCAACGCCTTGATCATAAAGTTCATGTCAGTTCATGTGCATGAAATTCTTCTTTTTTCTTAATAAATGTTACTTCAAATGAGAAGATGCTTGTTATAAAAATGTATTTGTTCTTTCTTGATAAAATAAAGTCATATAAGTAAATATATCAAAGAATTAAAGGAAATATGTTTTTGACCAAGAGTGGAGATCTGTCACTAGAAATATCAAATAATTCTTTCAATTTTGAAGATAATATATAACTTACACTGAAGTATATTTATACAACTGGAGTTTCGTTAATTATACTTGAAAAATTACCCGCATTGTTTATTTCATTTTTTAGGAAGCATTTCCAAGTGATATTGTGTTTCCTCATTCACTTAATAAATTCCTTCGAAAAAAAATTCATGTGCGCGGTTAGCTTTCTACAAATATAATAAATAAAAATTACTCTGAACATTCTCGAAATTTCAATAACATATTTTTATTGATGATGACTTGCAGGAAATAACATCGGAGAATGGTTGTTTACAAAAGTCATTACAGGATGTAGAAGAAAAATTAGAAATGTTAAAATCGTCTACTTCTAAAAGTTCAATTCTAAGTATTCTAACAGATGTCGAAAATAATGTAAATCCTAAAGAAGTAATTCAGGAAAGTGAAATAAATAAAGTAAATAATGTAGCGTCTAATTCATTCTCTAAGGATAATGCTATATTAAATTTAAAGAAACAGCTTTCAAGAAAGAATGAAAGGATTCAAATACTAAATGAAAAAGTAAATCAGGCAACTGATGAAATTTCAGTTTTAAAAGATATAAATTTATCTTTAAAACAAGAAGTGACTAAATCGTAAAAAGTATCGTCTTATAGGAAAACTGTAGGTTAGATTTTCTCTGCACCAGAAAGAAAATTTATTTTTAATTTAATTTATTCTTTCAATGTTAAATAATTTATAAATCATCATCATTTGAAATTAGATCATGATTTACGAAATTTGGAGAAAAAAAGGAAACAGCAAATTGAAACTTTGACGACTGAATCAAAACAATTGGAAAATGCATTAGAAAATGTGAAAACAAAATTAAGTGCATCTAAAGCGAGAATAACGATGTTGGAGAACGAATTAGACGGAGCGAAAAAGAATATTGCGCTGTTAAATGAAAAGAAAATTCCTAATGATCATGTAATAGAAGAATTATATGTGAGTTCATAAATATGTTTACGAAAAATTGTGGGCTATAATTTTAACACCAAAATTGATTTTTTGCCAGATAGAAAAAAATTATTTGGATTTTAATTTATTTATTATAATTTAGTTAATTAATTATTTGAATCTTTTTTGATTAGACATAATTATAGACATAATTATGAATATTGGCAAATAATACAACTTTTTTCTTCCTTTATTTTTAGAATGAATTAAAATCTACAAAAAGTCAGTTATCAAATAGTGAGGTCGATATTAAAAATAAAAAAAGTAAGTGGGATCGTGAAAAAGATGCTATGAAAAATGAAATAGAAAGTTTACAAATTCAAAATAATTTACTTCGTCGAAAACTAGATGAATTAAAGACAGAAATTTAAAGAGTTAAGAGCTGTTTATTATTTTTAAATTCATGTACGTATTTAAGTTTATGAAGAAATAAAAAAATATATGGTGTAATATATCGCAAAAATTAAATGAAATTTTTTCATTTAATATTATAAATAAAAATGGGGATTTTAATATTTTTAAAGTCTGATTCAGATTAAAAAAAGCTATTTTGCAAATTAAGCAACAAATTATTGTAACGCTACTTTTATTTTAAAATTCTATAGATTTTATACTATATTCAAAGTAAATTCCTGTAAAAATTAGTAATCTTTACTTCGAACTTGATAAAATTGCCTCCAAAATAAATAAAATTCACTATTAAAAATTGTTATTTCTAGAATAAATTTTGTTGTGTATTTCCAAAGAAAATTTCTTGATAAAAATTAGAAAAATTTACCTCAGAAGTAATAAAATTTATTTTGTAAATAATAACTTTTAATAACAAATTTTACTACCCTAGAAGACAATTTAAATAATTTGCCCACAAAAAGTTAACTACAAGGAAAAAGTAATATTTGCTATTAAAAATCAGGATTTCCAAAGTAAATTGTAATAAAAAATAGTAAAATATACTATTAACTTAGTAAAATTTATTCTAGAAATAGTACAATAAGTTGTCAGAAATTCCAAAAAGTTTAGGTTTTACTTTGTAAGTGGTAAAAACTATTTTATATTTGTTTTCTTGTATATAAAAAATTTTATGTTTTTCTGTAAATTTTTGTTATTAAAAGAGATTAAAGGGAAAATATATATGATTTCAGGTGTTTATTTTATTAATTTTTAATATTATTAATTTAAGGGGATAAAAAAGGGGTTCTTTGTAATGACTTTTGTGATCAGAATATTTACATTACGAAAATTGTATTTGAAAAAAAATTATTAAAGTGGATCATTAAAATAATATTGATTACAATATACAAATTGAAATGTAATTTAGAAAATTGCTCCCATTTACACCTTCTTTAGAACTTTGTAATATTTTTACCTCACAGTCAGTAGTTCAAGAAATATCTTGACTTTTTATCTAAATCTTTCACCTCTTAGGAAGTGTTCGATTTCTCAAAATTAACCGGGTGAATGGACAAAACAAACATTGCAAACTCAACCGCGTCCAAGAAGTTACTCATCCAATAAAAAATATAAACCTAGAGTCCTTTTTGTAAAATTATTTTTCTACTTTATACACTTAAAATTATAAACAAATAAAAATTTTCGACTTATTCTATCGAAAAAAACTGTTTAAAGATAGGAAAATATTAATAAATATAGATTTCTCAAGAATAAGAAAAGAAATTTTGATAATTATAAATGGTGTAATTTAATAACCTAATTATGAATATAGTCATGAAAAGATATTAGACAATAAGACTTTTTAACTTCAAAGTAGAAGGATTGGAACTGTAACATGAACTGATAAGAAAATTCACCTGTGACGTTCAAGCAGGTATATAAAACGGAGAACCATGTCCACGTCATGTATATTCTTATTCGTTCTCGTTCACATCACACCTGTACAGGACCTGAATCATTTCTTTCTGTTCTTAAAAAAAAGAGAAAAAAAATCGGTAAGTGTTAAATTATTATATTGTTTGTTATGTTGTTCTACAATTAGTAAACAAATAAATATTTACTAATTATTCAATTAAAAATAAGTCAACCATTGTTTTTCCTTTGTTTTTACTTTTTTTGTTAGAAAAATGTTCTATATCAGTTAAAAATTTAAAATACAAAATTTATCTAATAAGAGTTAACATTTTTTTATAAATTCATCAAAAAATTTATTTATTGTCTCAGACGAAACAATTTCAGTTAAGTAACAATTTTTAAAATTTTTCATTAAATACAAAGAAAATTTAAAAAAAACTTATAAAAATCGCGTTCTACTTCAAATTTACTTTAAAAAATTTCTTTTCTTGAAATTTTTCTTAAAAAAAGTTTAAAATATGATGGTGATTTCATAATCATTTCTTTTCACTGCGCTATATTTAATCAGCTTATCAGTGTCGGTCGCGTTGCTTACAGATGATTTTCGGTAATGTATGTGTATACCTGTTGAGGAACTGTGCTATCAATTCGTTATCACATACTAACTGATAATAGAGAATAGCTGTCTTTTCCAGAGAGTAATAATTTACAAAATACTTAGAATAATCTTAAATGAGTGTATGAGCTTATAGGGTGTTATAAAAATTACGATAGTATTAAAAAGTCATTCTTTTCAATAAAAAGACCTTATAAACTCAAAGTTTCTTTTTACCTTTTAAGTAAACATAATTTTAAACTTTACTTGATAATCTTTTACATCTTTTACTCAATAAAATTTAATTATTAATTACTTAAGGATTATATAATAGACAAGATTTTTACATAATAAGAAGTAATAAACGATTTGTATTAATCTGAGTTTATTCTTTTTTGTTCAATTTAAATTAAAATTCATTGAATGTTAATAATTTACATATAATAAAGAAGCATGAATTCTTTAAATAATTTTTTAAATAATTCTTCAAATAATTCCTTAAATAAAAATGATAAACACAATATTAAAATTAAATTATTGCGAATATATTATGTTAATACATCTCACAATATTTTTTATGTTATTTGAATTTTCATTTGCACATTTTTCCAGATAGTAAATCAGATATCATTACATTTCTTTTGTACAGATATATTGTGTTTCGTTTATCACTTTTGATAAGACTACACAGCTATAAGCGACGATTATTCTTCAGAAAAAAGTAAATTATTGTATTCATAACGTTCTTTAAAGTCATTAATTTATTGTCTCGTCTATTATATAGATACATAATAGGATTCAAAAATAATTCTATAATTTAGATATAGCTGATCCGTGCATTAAAAAATTTAGACTTTTCTCTTAAAAGTTTACAAATATTAATCTAATTTTGAAAATTTTATTCTATATATTTTCTATTCTTGTAAGTACACAGAAAGCATTTATATGAAAATATGTGTATTTAATATATTTATTATTCAAAGTAGACATTTTTTTAGTTGTTTGTGCAGATGCTTTTAGAAAATATCATCTGCACAAATAAGAAGTAAATGTTACAATCTTTTATTTACTTTCAAAATTAGAAATAAGCAGACTCTTTGCTTTTAAATTTGTTAATATTAATATATACTGAATTAAATATAACATATTCAATTCTTTACATGTTTTTTTCTGAAATTTAATAAGGTCTCAATTTTATATTGTTTGGTTAAGACCAATGACATATGTTTTTAAACTAAATTCATGTAAATTTTGTGAGAAAATTAGTTTTATTAAACTCTAACTGTAATGAATTTTTGCATGTTTTTAGTTGAAACCACATGGTGCGAAAATGTTAATAATAATACACTGGACACGAGCTAACACGTGTTTGGCATGAAAGGTTATGTGCAATCAGGTGGGTGCTAAACAGAAAAACGGCTCGCACTTCCCTGATAATTGGACTGGTTTCATGCTCAAGGGAAAACACTTCCTGCCCCCTTAGTTTTATATTTAGCAGTAAAAACGTATATGCTTTAAATTATGTAGAACTTTATTTTTAAATCATTTTAATTTCAGGCAAACTATAGTTCAAAAAAATACCCACAAGTTCATTATACTTTCAGAATCCACTTCAGTAGTTTTTAAAAAAAAATAATTTTCTATAATATGTATAATAATAGTTATTTAGGTTGAGAGAATTTTAGTTTATATAGATGGATTCGTAATCTGAGACAAGCAATGGTAAAATTAATTTAAATAAAGTATTCAATTTTTTTTCTAAATCGAATATTTTGTAAATATTAAATTTACAGGTGAAAAAAAATTAAAAGCATTGAATTTTAAAAATAATTATTATTAAATATGTTAATATTTTTAAGGTATATAAGGGAATGATCTTATGAAGGTGATGCTTCAAGTATACACGTATGCTGAAGAAATTGAGGATAATCAAAAAGCACGATTTTTATAAAGAGAGCTAACCATCGACAGTATGGTACAATTTCACTGTCATGGAGTTGCTCTCTTTGTGGATGTCGCTTAAATCAACAACAATCAACAACAGCATCAACATTTGGTTATGTAAAATTTTAAAATAAGAATAAATATAAATTTCATTCTACAGATCTTGAGAAAGTAATAAATTTATATCTAGTGTTGTTATTGTAAGTAATTTTTTGTTCGGTATTCAGAAAACAATAAATATGTTTATTTTGATATTATTATTATAATACTTTAACAAAGTTATATCTGTTATTTTTAGAATATAAATATAACGCAATATAAATATAAACTTTAATTTAACCTACCACAATTTGACATTAACTTCATCATTTGCGGAATAGAATCAGCACAATAAATAATTATTTGAAAAACATTATTTAATATTTTCATATTATTATTCGACTAATTATTTCAAGTTTCTACATGGCAATGACCCAAGAAATTATTTTCTCCAAAATAGGTTAATTACTTTCAAAATTTTAGGCAATATTTTTTTGGAAATTTGCAAAGTTTTCTGTCCATTAACGTCAATTTTACATTGATAAATAAATTTGATAAATAAATAAAATTAAACAATAAACAAATAAAATAATAATTAATAAATTTTGATAAATAAATCCTCTAAATTGATGACATTTTTCTACACATAGTTATTTTGAAAATTTTCAGTGCAAATAACTTTTTACGAAATTCCTGAAAAATATTGTTCTGTGTGGTAAGTATTTATTGTTTAAACTATGGCAAATACATAAAAAATTATTTTTATGTAATGAAATTTTAAACCATACAAAACTCAAGGTAGCGCTAGATACATATAATCAATATTATTCACGTTACGAACAGTTCTCTTATACTCGAAAAGTCTTTTGTTCCATAACGGAAAGGCTGTTTGTATCATCTCAACACGTTTAAAACCATTGAGAAGTTATTTCCATTTCTTATTGTATCCTTTGTTAATTTTTAAATACAGTCGGATGCATATTATACCTATTATGCGTATAGGTGCTATAGTACACAAGATTTCTGCAATTTAATTACGCTTTAAAAATAAATGTATTTCTAGCGAAAAACACAATACAACCTTATTATAAAATTTAAAAAAAACAAATATATGAATTTTAAAATAAATTTTGCAAAATCACCGTCTTTTTTCAAAATAAAGCAAGTAATTTATAATAAAATACTAGAATGTGTACTTCGTGTACAACCTACAAGAGAATTTGAAAAGTATAAAAAGTTTAACAGCGTCTCTAGCGACAATACTAAGAACTAGCAGTATAGAAATCTAACCAAACAAAATCAGCTGCTAGCCGTCAATTCAGCATTCTGCAATAATTTATTGCAACTCAAGTTAAAATCATTTCATATTTACAGTTTTGAGTAAAAAAAGGACAGCAGCATCTGAAATACTTGAAAGCAAAAAAACAAGAGAAGCAATAACCATGTCCAATATCAGTATATCAAATGTTTCAACTTCTAGTCCACGATCAAAGTAAGTAAAAAACCAAGTCCTTTTTAGATAAAACCTTGACAAAATTTTCAGTAAATAATTCTTCTTAAACTTATTAAATTTCATGACAGTTTAAAAATTGCCGCTGGAGCAGTAGTTTGTGATGAAAGCATTCTTAAAGGCGACATAACAATTGGCCCAAGAACTGTCATTCATCCCAAAGCAATTATTCTGGCAGAAGCAGGCCCTATTATCATAGGCGAAGGAAACATTATTGAAGAAATGGCAACAATAGTCAACAAGTAAATATATCAAGTTTATCATTTTATTACTATCATCAGTATTTGATAGGTTAGAATCAAATAAATTGTTTTTTTACAGATTACCTGACGATGCTCCAAGACTTACAACAGTACCAGTTCAAATTATCGGGAATTATAATGTTTTTGAAGTAGACAGCATTTGTGAAGCGAGTAAAGTCGGGGACAATAATATTCTAGAAACGAAAGGTATGACAGTATTCAGAAAATTAAATTATATTTAAGGAAAGCAATTTTTAATGCAATTAATTGGTTGTTACAGCATTTGTTGGTCGAGAAGTTGAATTGACCAACGGCTGCATAATTGGTGCTGCTTGCTCTATATCAGAATCGGAAATTTTACCCGAAAATACGATTGTTTATGGAAGCCAATGTCAGCGTAGAGAAATGAGTGATAAACCATATGTAAGTGACATACTATTCTCAAAAACTACAATTAAAACATCGTTGAATATAAAAATTAAATTAACTCTAAATCTGAATTAGTAGAAAGATTCTAATAAAAAATCGTCCACTAAATTAGTGACAAACAATTAGTGAAATTCAACTAAAAACTTAGTAAAATTTTATTATTTTTTAGTGTAGAATTCTACTAATTCTTAGAGAGAAAGAAAAAAGTTTATTTCAAGAGCTTTTTTAAATGGGTATAAATCTAGTATTTAGTGTTAGTTATAATGACTTTAAGCAATAATATATGTAATTTTTCTAGCCTCAAGTTGGACAATTGGATTTTTTAATGCGGGTACTACCGAATTATCATCATCTTCGAAAACCTAATATGAAATTAAAAACTGAACCATCTGTATAATAGATCGTCATTTATTATTTTTAAGATATTTATTTTGTTCTTACTTTGTAATTTAGATACTAATATTTAATTATAAATGTTTGTTTTATATTATAAAATAAAATACCTTTTTTATATGCAGTACCTACTCGCTTCTATTTGCTTGGTCGGTAAAAGTTGAATCTTCTTCAAATTTCCACTTGTAGATGGAACTACCTACACCTATCCTTAGACGACGCTTGTTTGAGGCACTTATTTTAAAAGCATTTTCATTTTACAGAAATAAATTGAAATATTCACTACTATTTTAATTATTTCTTCTAACCACTATTTAAGAATAATTATAAATGTCTTTAGTCAAATAATAATGTCATTTTCTCGTTCATCAATATTGAATAAGATATGAAAAGGCTGGAATAAAGATCAATAATAACAATACAAGTATTTTATTCAAAAATTATAAAAACTTCAAAGTCGGCTCTAAAACTATTTTCGTGTATCAGTCAGCCATATAAATTTATCAAGTATTCGCAAAATAAAAAAATTATTAAAATTAATGAAAATTTTTACATTTAACTTTAACCCTCGAAAAGAATTTTGAGTATATATTTGAAGTTGATGAAAAAATGAATAAAAATACGTAAGAAAATACACTGTTTAAAAAAATTTTCTGGAAAAATTGAATTTGCATTTTTGTTGGAGATTTTTCCTTGTCAGCAGGCACTGCTGAATTTAAGACTCATCGTAAATTAATAGGATATTCTTACTGTGTATGTATATATACAATAATATTTTCCTCAAGAAAATTTTATTTAGTACAATTCTTTTGTTTCAAGATTGCTTTTAAAATATTTTTTGCCTAATACAGTCTACATGACATAAATCAAAATCGTTTCTGAATATTATCATAAGTAATAAATTGGTGTGACGAGCGTTGACGGACAGACCCTGGGGTATCTCTACTCCCCTGGTTAAATCGCAATGTCAAAACGGCAGACACGAGCTTCACCCTGGAGTTGCACACAAATGACAAGCATTGCAAATTTGAGCTTCGCTTAACGTTTCTATTGTTAATACAACCCCTGTTATAAGTGTATACATATATGCGTCTACTTAGTTTCGAGAATAAGCACAACTCTTCTATTAATGAAAAGTACGAATATATATTTCAATTTCAAAATTTCTGATAACTTTTTTTTATCGTTATTGTTATGCCTTTGGATACCTAATCTCTGGATGAGTATTTAAAATTAGTTTCAATCTCAAAAAAATATGTGAATTCCTTCGCTTTATTGGATTATTTATACTTTTCGGTAATTTAAAAAATTTTTTTTGCGTTAATTTATGAATTTCTTTATATTAAAATTAAAACTTATTGACATATTTGGTAGGAAATGTTAGAAGAAAAGCATTTTTCGCACAGGAAATAATGTTAAGAAACATTTGATTCTTTCTTTTGTAAACATAAGAATCGATTCTTTTATCCTTTCCCTCTGAGGGTAAACCATCCGTAAAATACAAAAGGGAAGTTATGCTAATGTCGCGTCGTTTACAACGATATGTATATATGTATATAAAGATTTTGTTGGAATAATAGAGCTGCTCCTACTCATCGAAATTATGTTAAATACCGCCGTCAAGCATATTAATTATAAAATATCCAATAACACAGAATGTTCTATTCATCACATTCTTGCGGAATATTCTATCCTCATTTTAGGAATATTCAAACATTCGACCTTTAGAACAATGTAGGGAATATTCCAAGGAATATTCAATAAACAAAATATTTCTACTTTGACATTATTTTGTTTCGTCGTAAAAAACTATGAAAGTTTAAAAGAATTATATGCATATCTTTTCAGAACAAGAAAGATATTAAATTTTAATTTATAATCTGAATAGTTCATATGTTACAAGAAAAATACATATACATATATATATCTTAAGCTATAACATCAATAATATGATATATATTTATACGCTAAATGTCCAGTTTGCTCCGTCAATAAATTATTATCAATTTATTTTGAAATAAAACAGTTATAGAACAGAAAAGAAATATTTTTAAAATTAATCATTCTATATATTCCAGTGGGATATTTCGTATCATTCATAGAATAAATTATTGCCATTTTATTGTAAAAGAAATATATTGACAAATTCTTTTGAGAAAGTGTATTATATTCACATTTTAATATACAAAATTTGAAGAGATTATTATAAAGTATAAAGAATTTTTTTTTCCTACTGCAAGCATTAGCGCGAGCACAAATGCGTTCAACCTTCTTGTCTTGGAGCGAAAAAAGATATGTAAGAAAATAAGATGTCAGCTATTAATACTGAAATTAATTTGCCACGACGCACACAGGAGCACTCTTCGTCAATTTGACGTCGGTGCCGCCTACTTCTTCAAATATAATCTGCCGTTATCATTCTTTAACCACACGAATAAAAAATATAAATATTTAACATACTAAGTCTCTACGTTGTATATCTTAAAACTTTTGGAAAAATCATGAAGCATAAAGATTCTGTTCAATTTTAAATAGGCAAAAATATTTAACAAGTTTTAATTTAAATATATCTTTTTTGAGATCAAAATTTCATGCGATAATTTAGAAACGACTTTTAACAAAATGCACAGATAATTATTAAAGACTGTAAAATTAAAATGTATATTTAATATTACGTTCATGTAAGTTTTTTCTGGTACCAATATTCAATACTGGCCTATCTCTCTAAAATAAAATATGTATAGGATAAACATATTACATCGTAGTTTCTTTTGTTTGGTATGTTTCACTCTTCGCTATTAATATATGAGCTGTGAGGTGCATCGAATTTTTAAAAAAATATAACCCACGTATTTGAAAAAATATTTCACAAGTTTACCACTTTTCTAGGGTAAATGTGCCATAAGAGTATACATTATATTTAACCATACCCGTTACACGTATTTATGCGTTCATTCATGTGTGATGACGTTTGGAAGAAATAATTTCTATGATACAGTAAATCTGACATGTTCACTGCATCTTTTGTCCCGATCTTGTCATGTGCACTTTCTGGAATTGTGGGGTATATATTTTTCTTTTTCATAAAAAGTTAATACAATTCATATTTATTTTTATATTGTTTTTATGTGCGTAAATATATGTTTTATGTTGTGTAATATTTAATTGTTGACATTTATTAATAATTGAACGTTGATCATTATTAGCGGAATGAACAAAAAATAACATGCAATAATAAAATGAGTTAAAATTTAATTCAATTTTTTAGATTTTACTTAATAAAACTTTCAGTATTCGTCTATATATTTTCCACACGATCTCAGTAAAGCTGCGTACACCAAAATAATTAGTCTTAACGAGGGACCTTCGTCTGTGTCAAATTAATCACCCGATATGTGTATGAAGCTATTTTCAGTAAAAGTACTTTAGAATCTTAAGTGGAAATGAGACGTGGCCTAAATTAGGCATGAAATGATGGTGACGAAGCGTGCACCTTATAGAAAAAATTTCTACTCCAGGTGGAAATTTTTTAAGGCACAAAAATATTTTATGCATAGTAAAAATAATAATGCACTTAACAGTTTGACAAATTAAAAAATCTTTTTTCGTAACTGTAAATTTAAATTAATAACATTGTTTACTAATTTGAATTTAGTGACTAACTTTTTGCTTTTGAAATTGAGACATTTTACTAATAAAATAAATAGTAATTTCTATACCAATTTATTAGTAAACTTTACTAATTCAAAAGAAAAAGTCAGTCACTAATTCAGTAAACATTTTTACTATAGTTCAAATTTAGAGAGAAAGATATTTAATAAATTATTTTCATATTTTAATAATATTAATATTATTAACATTCGATTTTCTTAAAATAACATCTTACATTTTCTCATATTTTCAGAAGTATTTTTTCGCATATGAATGAATTTAATATTTGCAATAGATCGGGGAGAGAAGGTTCTACATATGTATTCAATTCAAATCGGTCTTTACATATAAATAAATATATACGTACATGTATGTATCATTCGGAAATGATTCTAGTAATTTGTTCTTATTATTTTGAAGGTAAAAATAATAGCGTGTGCATAAGCATGAGCGTGCGTAACATTCGCAATATCCCACATTTATAATTTGCAACGAAAAGTGAGCGTGATGTTCGTAAAGCGTGCACTGGTAAGTGATGTCGATTTTCAAGAGCATGTCAATCCATTACTAGAACCTGAAACGCGGTGAATATTAACGCCCACTAATTTGCTAACCATTCATTTTATTAAAGTGCACGCAAGCGTCAATGTAATATTTTATTTTATAGATAAATTGAAAAACTAATTCTCCTATATTTCAATAATCGAAATTTTGCATTTAATTTTCATTTAACCAATACGTGTGATTTTAATAATAATATATGATCGTATATATATTTAAAGACCGCACGAAATTTTTTCTTCTTTCTTCTTTTTGTGAGATATTTATATATTTAAATATCTCATAAAAAGAAGCAAAAATGTGAGAAAGTATTCCATCTTAAATCTTTATACGGTTATTTAAAAAATTTTCTGCATGACTATGAGAGACAAAATATGTAACAAAACCAAAGGATGTTCGGAGGTTCGAGTCATCAAGCATTTAAGCAAAGCGTCACGGACGATATGAGCCACACGTGCTTAACAGTGCAGTCTGACGCTTTTCGTCAAAAACAAAAATGCGTTCTATCCAAGTCGACACAGACTTCGCAGAGGTCATGAACAAGTCGTCTGAGTATTTAAATGTTAAATATTGCGCTTAAAAAAAGACCACTAATTGTCAATGAACAAATAATCATTTATAACATACGTTTATACTCGGATATTTTCTATCAGATATTTATATAATATTACATTTAAATACATTCCACAAATTTTTTTTCCATGTTTTAAAAACATTGAATTTTGATTTGGTACATAAAGAAGAAAGTCCACATAGTTTTTGAATTTTATCAACTGCAGCAACAAATAGTTATGAAAAATAAAATATTTGGAAGTATGAAGAAAGAGTTAAAGTGAAGTTTGTAGACCGTTTAGAATTTAAAGAAGCACTTTTCTAAGAAGCATTCGATTGTAAAATATATTACATATTATACCACGAAAACATTTTCATGCATCTTGGTTTCACCTCAACAGCGGACAACATGTGCATATATATGTATGTATTCTGCTCTATATATGTTTTACTTCTAAAAATGGGGGAGCGCACGCACGTATGAGTACCGCAGCGCGGTTGACGTTTTATTGAGTTGTTAAGACATGTTACGAGTCTTTGACTTTTCACAGTTCTCTCGCAAAATTTATTAAAAGCCTACAAAATTCGTTTAAATACTAAAAAAAAGCTTAAATTATATGACAGTTAAGTTGAGTAATTACATTTAGCAAAAATTAGCTATACATATATATAATTGTATAACATGCAAGTTATATGCGGGTGAACGTCCGCACATGAAAAGGGACCACATGGAAAAGAAGAATTTTGGTTTTCAACAATAAAGAGAGAATAAAAAATCTGAACAACTTTTAAAAAATTATAAGATTACCTCGTAAAATAAAATTCAAAAAATGCTAATAACAAAAACTGCATAGAAGATATTAGAAGAGCACCGGTTTGCAGTTCAACTTGATTTTTACTCAGCTGAAAAAAGATAAAAGCAAAAAAAAATTAATGTTGTTTTTTGTAATTTTTAAGTGAAAATATAAAAAGGTGATCAACTCTCAATTTAAATGACTGTCAATGATGTTTAAGTAATCAGATATAATTAAAAATACAAACATATAACTTTAAAATGATTTGCTTCTTATTTATTATATATGGCATATATTTTACCTTATTTCTTCAAAGCGCGCCTCGGAAATAATGAACCACTTCATAATGACCCGAGTCAAAATTTAGACCCTCTATTTTTAAACCTCTTTTGAACCTGAAAACGATGCGGAAAAATCCATATTCCGATGTTTAGAGGCTGAAAAGAGGATTTCAAATTTTTGTGAAATTTAAATTTTTTAAATTTCTATCTATGCTAATAATAGATTTATTGAAATCATTCAAAAACTATTATTTGGATCTTCTATAGGGCAATTAAAGTATAACTCTGCGAAAAAAATTCCAATTATAGTTTTCGAAATATTTAAAAAAATTCTTTTTTCGGACCTCTTTTAAGCCTCCTTACTTCTTTTTTGAACCTCTAATAGTGCGGAAAAATCCATTTCTGCAGTTTTTGGGTTCAAAAGAGGATTTAGAAGTTTAAAAAGGCTTAAAAGAGGTTAAAAAGAGGTTTTTGGAGAACTAAAAGAGGGTCTAAATTTTGACTCGGGGAACACGAAGAAAAATATAATGTATAACTTTTACTACTTTTATAGTCAAACATTTCTGGTTAATCATTTCTGATAACTTTTACTATACTTTCGGAGTAAATTTTGCTACGTTCGAAGTAAATTTTACTACTTTCAAGGAACATATTTGTAAAACCGCTGCCAAGTTGTACATTTTTATAATTTTGGTGTTCATTTCATGAACACTTTGCTTCCTCATAAAAATAATAATAATTGAAATATAAGAATTACTTTTTATAAAAGGGTTAAAAATCATTAAATCTTGGTCCAAAAAATGTGTTTTTATATATTCTATAAGATGGTAATAATAGTTTAATAATTACACATAAGTTAATAAACAAGAATGTTGAAAAAATGATATTTTCCACAATTCTTGATTTTTCAAATACCAATAATTTCATAATTTCTGCCCGAATCAGGTTAAAAAGTAGGTCAATCGAAGCGTTTTTTAATGCTCTTCAAGTTGGTAATAATTTTTTGAAGTTACTTTTACATAATTTAAAAAAATGTTTATAAAAGACTTATTTTTCAAAATTTTAGATTTTTAAAAGTTTAATATCTTTGGTTAATATGGACAAAAAATGTTCAATTGGGGCTCAAAAGATGCGTCTGAAAAAACTCTACAAAACTAAATACAAAACAAAACTAAACTTCTACATTTTTCAACAACATTTTCAAAAAAGTCTTATTTTCTAAAATTTTTGATTTTTTAAAGTTTAATATTTCCGGTTAATATGAACGAAAAATATTTAATTAGGGCTCAAAAGATGCGTGTGAAAAAACTCTACAAAACTAAAGAAAAACATTTATAAGTGTCCTAACATTTTTTTAAGTTACGTCCAAAAAACGTTTTTTTACAAAATGAAAAATGCAAAAAAAAATAGTTAAACTTCATGAATCGGGCTGAAAATACTCTCATTTTATGTCCCCCGGGGAGACCTACAATTTAAAAAAAAATTGAGGCCTTTAGCTCTTTCTTGTTCTGAGATATTGAGGCAAATGTAATGTTAGTACACACACAAACACACACACATCGGGACAAATTTTTAAAATCCGTTTATTGGACTTCGGAGTTCAAAATACGTCGAAATCTTTTTTTATTTGTTTAGAACATTTATACGGGGATTTCCTGTGCATATATAATAAAGTACTAAAGTATTAGGCATAATAAAAAAAATTTATAAATATGTCAAAAAATGACAATCCAAAATTTTGCTAATACAAAGCTTCCTTTATGAGGAAGCAAAATTAGTAAAATTTACTTCGAACGTAACAAAATTTACTCTAAAGTAGTAAAAGTTACTAGAAATGAATAACCATAAATGTTTTACTGTAAAAGTATAGTAAAAAGTTACTTTATATTTTTCTCCGTGAAGATCTTGAGTAGCAAATTTGCTAAGATATCAATCTTTACTTCTTAAAATCCCCTTCCGGGTTCCTTTTGAGTGTCAGGTTAAAGTATAAATTAGTTTGTATACCAAAGCTATGGATCAAATCCTAATTTTATCCAATTTGGTATCAAACCGTGATTGAAAATACGTCTCTAAAATTTTAAATGTTTAAATAAAGGCTGATGTTTTTGTTAATATTTCTAACTTGTAATTCTTTTTTTGTATTATAGATAGCACAACTTGTATACAAAAATTCCCCAGAGAAAATGAGCCTCCGGAAAGTATAACCACACATAAAATTCTGACCGCCATGCTAATTCAATGGGCGTCAGAATTTTATGTGCGTGGTTATACTTTCCGGAGGCTCAAATGTTAATTAAGGCATTTTTCGCAATTTTTCCATTGGTTTTTGTAACTTCTTAACCATATTTTTCATCCCATCATTCATTCATCATCCATTCTTCCTTATTAAAAAAAACAAAGAAAATAACTTATAATTTTATTTTGCAGTAAATGTCAACATTCTATATCAACACAACTATATTGGGGTACTTTTTAACCCCAGTTGTACTTCTACGTATGAGCCAATTATTTTTGCTGTCTACGGTGAAAAAATCATTGTTAACGAAATAAATGTTAAATTTTTTTTTAATCCAGTATCGTAAATTTTTTTTTAAATTTAAACAAAAAAATATTTAGTTCACTTGAAGATTTAAAGTTTTAGCGACTGCACTACTCAGACTGTCTGTCCCAACGGTAATATCTACTTTGATTTTCCTAGAGGGGACTATATCTGACCAATAAGGGATTCTACTCCTTTCAAACCTCCTCAACGTAACTTGAAGTAGATATTGCTGTTGGGACAGACAATCCTAACGCCTAATGCATTATTGCATGCGGGCACCCTCAATTATAGTTGGTAGTATTACTGTCTATTTATGTTTTCTCTTTCACAAAAAACATGTTACCTTAATAAATTGAAATTAAAAAATTAAAATAAAAATGTCAAATACTCCTTATTAGGAATCTATGATATTTCTAAAAATTTAAATTTAAATCAATACACACTAATGAAAAAAGTTTTACTTTCAGCCTATTTTTGAGCCTGAATTTAAGTTGTAAATGGAGTCAGACTTTTTTTTTCCTGTGTATAATTTGGGCATTAGTCGAGTTTCAAATGAACTGACCCTGATCAGTTTCTTATACTGTATAATTGATTTAATATTTTTGTAAGGATACAGTCATGAGTAATGTGTGTTGTCTGTTTGTTTGTGTACAGAATGATTGTTTGTGTGTTTGTCTGATTGATATGTGTGTGATTGTGACCAAAATTGTAAAAGGAGAGATAAGAGTAGTCTGTACTTCGGTGTGCGTGCGAACGGTTGTACTTAGAAATTACCTGACATTAAATTATATATATTCATTTTAATTATTTGTTTTTAATGTGCCATCCTCTCACATTTTGTTCTTTACAAGAAAAAAATTTATTGAAATAAAATAAAATGTTTTATCAAAAGTATTTAGAGAAATGTATACGTTTAGATTCTCTCTTCTTCTTCAGATTGTCAGCAAGGTTCTTCTAAGAGCCCTATTTTGAATAAAGCACAGTAGGGCAATTTCTATTTGTGTTACATATTTTGCAAACGTCCTGGGAGTAACCTGGTTAGGTCCACGCCAGATTTTCCTATAAAGGCTCTCTTGTGGCAAATGAAATTGTACTTTAACGGCAACTGAAGTTGAAATTAGTGTATACGTAACGTTATTATTAGAATGATTCTTGGAGAAACAATGCACGCAAATCTTGTCATGTAGGTACCTATTATTCCTAATTGCAGACAACCAAATACATTGACAATCAGAAAACCATCTAGTCTTCTGTATAGGATAAAATCAAGATGGCGGTTTTGCAATTGGGCTTGTCCTCGTGACGTCATTGGTTCATCGGCAACCAGTTAGGAGGACGCGAAAGCTTCGAAACTCCGCCTCTACCTTGTAGAATTTCATGCTGACTATACCATATATACAGAGAAGACTTGGAAATTTAAATAGCTAGTCAGTCGTCCGTTGACTGCGGTTCATTTCAGTTAAGTACTCTCAAGCGTAATTTTTAATGTTAGTAATATTTATAATATTTATAAACTGAATATTTTAAACGTATGAGTCAAAAGTGTAATATAAATAATATTAAATATAATTTTTAAAATGGAGTTTTAGTGTTATTGGATTTTTTAAATTAAACAAAGTTCTACTATGATTTGTTGTGTTTTTAAAAAAATATGAAGTGAAGATTTATCTTTCTTGTATGGAAAAAATAGTGGTCAGATACATGAGTACCTATAAAACAAATATGGAATGTAGTGTGAAAAGTTTTTGTCTTTTAAAGTGAGTGAATTTTGTTGTGTTTGCATTCTTTGTCATGGATTCATCAGTAGAGGAAACTGAACTAGATGTTGAATCTGTTAATGATGAATTGGAATCTGTCGAAGCTAAAATGCGATCAATTCCGAAACCTTTTACAATTGAAAGTTTAATTGGCAATAAGGGTCAAGCGGTAGGAGTCAATAAGGAATATATGAAGCCAAATGAAAAAATACGGGGAAATGAACAAAACTCTGATCAAGAAAAGGAATTTTTTTATCAGCAACATTGTCTTGCGACGGCAACATCAGCACTTCCAGGTTTGTAAAAGATTGCTATAATGATGATACAATGTTGTCAAAAGTAAAAAATTCACTACTAACCAGGACATTGTTTTAAATTTTTTTATGTAGGATTATTATACAACTCGTGGTTACCATTAAGAATGTATGGTGGCAATAATGGTCCAGTGATTCCTTCTCATCTCTCTGCAACTTATCCCTCACAACAAAATCATCAAAGTCAATTGTCTCACAATTTGACTTTTGGTTTAAGCAACTATCATAGTTCGGTATATTCTGCTAATCACACAATTCATCAAAGAACAAATTTAACAGACAGCGAAGATGACAGAAGCCTATCACCTTCTTCTCCCATTCAGGATTTATCAAAGTCACGTCAAGGTAAGTAATATTGAATAAACATTAAAGTTAAAAAAAAATTCCAGTTATACAACATTTTTAATTTTCCAATAACTTTCCTCTTTTCTTTCAACCTAAGAATACTTATAGCAAATTGCAAAATGTCCCCTTGGTTTCAAGCTTGCGGCGCAAACTTGCACTAAATTTTAGTCATCTTCCCCACAGTTTATCAAAGTACATCCATTATGAAAAACACAATTAATTAGAACGTTTTCTGACAAATATTATAGGAGTTCACTCCGCAAATTTGCTACCAGCTCGAGTCAAAATTTAGACCCTCTTTTGACCCTCAATTTTTAAACCTCTTTTGAACCTGAAAACGATGTGGAAAAAGCAATATTCCGATGTTTGGAAGTTGAAAAGAGGATTTCAAATTTTTTAAATTTCTATCTATATGCTAATAGATTTATTGAAATCATTCAAAAACTATTATTTGCATTTTTTATAGGGCAATTAAAGTATAACTCTGCGAAAAAAATTCCAATTATAGTTTTCGAAATATTTAAAAAATTCTTTTTTCGGACCTCTTTTAAGCCTCCTTACTTCTCTTTTCTGAGTGATGTAAAAATGTCCTAAACGAAATGATCTTATAAATTTATAAATTTTTTTTTTAAAATGAAAATTTCATGAATGCATTATATTAAGTTATCATCACTGGAAGGGTTTCAATTAATTTTTGTGCGAAAAGTTTGTTATTGAGGAGAAATGTTTCTGACAATAGTTGTGCTTTAATAAAAGAAAAGATTTTGTCCTAAATGAAAACTTGATTTAAAGTGCTTCCAAACTGTTTATTAATAATAAACAGTTTACTATTGTCAGAAACATTTCTCCTCAATAACAAACTTTTCGCACAATCGCACAAAAATTAATTGAAACCCTTCCAGTATGTATTACATACTGCCGTACTGACGAAGAAAGTCACTATCTACAAGGTGTAGATATAGTGACTTTCTTCGTCAGTTCGGCAGTATAGAGATATCGTAAGTGTAATAAGATTTACAAGTTGTAGAAAATAATTAAAGGTAACTTGAAAATTTGGCAATATTTGAATATATAAAGTTAATGGAAATAAAACGAAGATCGCTACATTCTGAGTAATCGATTTGTTGATTGCAATTAAAATGCTATAATGGTATATTCCCCGATATACATATATAATTCAGTCAATTCGAGACGATATGCAGCGTGTGTGGTATATATCATTCAAACCGTCTCTAATTAACTCGCATTTATATTAATGATCCTGGAGGAAGTAGAGAAGTGTATATATATAGACTATTTGTATACATCTCACTAGAAATCATGCCCCAATTAATGTGTATATATAATTAATCGAAAAGTATTTAATAGATCGCTATAGTATTCATTAAAAGTTTAATAATGTTTCTCACCAGTAAAAAGGAAAGTGAAATAAGTCTTAATTTAAAGATGTAACTTTTTAAGGAATAAACCTCTATGTTATCTTTATGCTATATGGATTTTATATGCTGATTAGTAGTGCTGAAGACATAAATTTTTCTATTACGGTCTTTGACAAATAGTCATCTTACAAAACAATGCATCGATTTTGACCTCTTCAGGACATTGTGATTCCCTAAGCGTTAATATAATAATTAAAAAATTAAAAGTAAACTAGCGTGATCTTCAGAAGATCTGAGATTTTTTGATTATTAATTTCGTGCCGATTAGAGTTATATGCTACTGGACTATTTTTAATCACATTTGGCCTAAAGTGAGACTGTGACAAAATTTACATAGTCGCTTTAGCTATATATACACGGAGAGACTTTAGTTACAAAAATTACTTTATTGTATTTCGATATTTCTAATAAAACGTAAAAATTTAGGGATAATCGAGGTACGATGATGATAGTTCTTATTATAATAATAAGTAGTGTTATTTTTTTTATCTAATACTACAGTCAACTCTACGAATAGTGCCGCTATCAATAGTGCCACTTCTCCTCTTTCTCGCTCGAGCTCTATCCCCACTTTAGCGACTCTAGCACGGCTTCTGAATTTCGAGTTTCCCCTAAGAGAGAAATATACAAACAGTGGGGGTACTACAGTTCCAAGAAAAGTCGTAAACGCTGTGCAATTTTGCGGCACTATTCATAGAGTTGACTGTATTGTAATTTTTAGGGAACAGAAGTTAGTATAAAAATTTAGAAAGAATATCATTTGATGTTAATGACAATTGCAAATACGAGAATATGAAACTTATTTATAATACATTCATATTATTTTATTTGTAAACCCACTATTTTGAATACTATTAAATGTAAAAAAAATTTAGATACTGTATTATTTTCAATACTAACACGCTCTGAAATGGTAAGCAGTTTGAATTTTTACAAAATTTTATTAGAATATTTTCACGAAGGTTTCCGAACAGTTCCGTCCACAACCGAAGACCAGTTAATGTTAGGCGAACACTCAGCAAACAACCGAGCGTCATCATCGTCTTGAAAGTATTTTGTTAAAACCGTTTCAAAAGTTATTAGTGATTAAACAATTGAATTGTGTAATAATATTATAATAAATCATGTATATATTTATATACATATGTATTATGTGTTAAAAAATGAGACGCATTCACAATAAAATAAAATCATAATTTAAAATCAGCCTTAAATTCAGTAATGCCTGCTTACATGTAAAATCCTCCAAAATTAATTTCGAAAAGTAACTACTGACTGCGTCTTAAAAATATTGCATCTTAATTTAAGATTTCCTTCCTGCCTTAAAATAAGATTTTCTTACATTTATGGTCTAAAAAGTTGTATCTCCTTTCAAGATACTGTATTACACCGTGGCAACACCCAAATCTTTGTAATTACTTTAAAATGTTTATTCTTAGATACATAATAATTAAAGGGTCGTTAAGAGCCAATTATATGATACACATATGTAGCTCGTTTGGAAATATACGAGCCAAGTAGCTAGTCTTTACTGCCACACTCACATTGATTGTCATTTTTATATATAGGTATATTTATGACTATATGTGTACCTATAACATTGCAACATATTAGACATGTTTATATTATAAATGAAACAAGAATTAAAAATTAAAAACATTTTTAATTGCAACTCTAAATACATGTAGAACCCCAATTATCCAAATTAATGTGATCGTAACCTATATACCACGAAGTAGACGAAAACTTGAATAATATACGTACTGATTATACTCATTAGAATTTAATATTTTTATCCATACAATTCAAATCAAAAAAATATTTTCCAGTGCAATGATTTTTGCTAAGATCAAACAATACTTTTGAATATTTTGTGTACATATAAAATTAATAGTGAAAATTTCAAGAATAAGGGGTTCATTTTTTAAACTCTTAAATATTGAAGATTTACAAAAAATATGTAGTAATAATGATTATTTGCTGCGAAATATTTGCAAGAATTAAATCGAAAAAGAAAAGAGTTACTATAACAAATCAGTGCGTATTTGCACGCAGAACGACGGGAAGTGAATAAATAATTGTTTAACGTATGCTGTCGGGCAGTTTATTGATGTTTTGCCGCCTTGAAATTTCGTATGCGAAAGGAAAAACCTTCGGGGAATTTATCACTACTCATTTATAACATACCCAACTTTTTGATATGCACCATGTCCAAGAAAAAGATGATGCAGATTAATCTGAATTAGTATACTTTTCTCTGCTAATGACAAACATTTTTCTATATGAATATGATAATTTTTTACACTGCAGTTATTATCAACTACAACATGTTCAAGTATTTAGGAACATTCATCAAAGTTGGCAAACATTCTTATGACGCGACTATAAAGCGTACAGAGAGGAAGTGTTATAGAATTTCAAAAATAATCCCTAATTGATAAATTGAGCATCGCAGGCAAGTAAAACCCCAAAAATAAGTAGACATATGGACTCAATTTGTGTATGAACTCTAATACACGTCTTGAAAAGAAATTGGATTTGAGAAATCCTTTTTTGTGTACAAAAAGTTTGGTACATAATTATATTATTCATATGCATTGAAAAAAATGTATTTGATTAAAAAAACTAATTACTTATCTATTAGCAAATAAATACTTACTTGATTCAAATAATTTTTATTTAAATCAATTTGGTATTTGAACAAATAATTTCAGTATTTGCAGCAAATATGAATTACACCATTTAATTGACTTAAATCAAAATTATTTGATTCAAGTAACTGAAATAACTGAAATAACTGATTACTAGTCAATAAGTATAACTGCAAAAATATTTCAATCTTTCCAATATTGCATTAGTTTACAAAAGTTTTAGTTATTTTGACATAACCTAAAAGTAAGTTTAATAATAATTAATCATTATTAACTGTTTAATCAGTAAATATTATTAAATCATGCAATCAAATATTGTGACTATTTACTATCAAATTATTTTTAACTAATTGAAATTTATAGAAAGCCGATTCGTATAATTTGCTGAACAGTTTTGTAAAATGTTATACATTTTCAGCACGGTGCAAAATTATTCTAATTAACTTTGAAATAAATAGTATAATAATAATTAATTTCAAATAAAATTATTTTTTCCATGTTAATTTAAACATTTTGACTTATTCTTTAAAAAGCTTTCTGGTATAAAAACATAATATTTTGTTAAATAATAATAGTCGACATTTTTTTAACTCGGTAATAAATCGTATAAGAGTATAAGATAGTATAAGATTAAATGCAAAGCAACAACAATGTAACAAAAATATTGTTCACTTATACCTACTTGATCGATGTCATCCTGCATCCCTGCATGTGACCTCCGTCCTGGACCTGCACTCATCAGTTTACTTCTTTTGATCTGAAGAATAACACTCACACGCGATTTCACGAATTTCGAACACTTTCTAACCGCATGTGTTAGTAATAATTGAAAAAAGACAACATTTCATGCGATCGCGGTTTTAGATATTACGAACACTCCCGAAATAAATTTAAAGCTAAATTGGAAAAAATTAAAACACTACATGTTATTTAATTACTATTTTTAGGTAATTTGAACACTCCCGAAGCTAGCACCTATACTTGTCTGTAATTGTCTAATAGACATAAACATGACAGACGAAAATTAGAATTGAGGGTGATTTTAAGGTACGACCACAATTTTGCAGGCGGACCACAGGGCTACTGTGAAACTGTGATCATACCTTTAGAAATATTTGCGTAATTTCTGACATTCGACGTTATTTTTTTAATTTTGCACTTTTTCTTTCTTTTTGTTTTAACTAGAATGATATTTTAGTCGTTTCAATTTCAAGACGTTTGCTCCCGTTCCTCGCGTCACATTAGAGGGGACGTACGAAATTACGGAAAATAAGGTTATAAACTGACAGGTACTTTTTTTCTGTTGCTACGGTTGCTACCATTTCCACTCTCAAAATTTTATTTAAGTATTTAATTAAATATAATTCTTGTATTAAATAATAGAAATAGTTGTGTAATGTAGGTGACAATATTTTACACTTTATTACAAATCAACTTTGGAAACACGTGGTCACACGAATACGAAAAGCTCAAAGAAAATTCTTAACTTTTGTACCGCACTGCCCCTCGCACTGAAAATGCACAAGCAACTATAACGTAAAGACGGAGAGGGGATGCGCTTTGAAGAAAAAGACGTTAAGCAAAACAAAGTTGCAGGTTATGTTATTATATTAGTTTTGTGAAATGTTAACATTTATGGTCAACTTCTAATTAGTTAATAAACACGTAATTAAGGGGCACTTAGCCTTCGTTGACATGTTATATTCGTGTATAAAGCTGCTCTTAGCACTATTCAACTTGTCATTCGATAACTGTAATAAGTATGTATACATATCCCTTACAATTGGTAAATATAGTATTTCACTATATAACTATATATATTCTGATTGATATTTCTAATTATATTTTTTGACTCTTTTCTCAACAAAAATATTTAATAATAATATACTCACTAAAAATTAAAAAAGAATCCTTTACTCAAATTAAAAAGATAACAAACATAACCTACAAGATTTTGCTTCTAAGGTTTCTTTTCTTCGTAACCCGTTACATATATTAAGTTTTTAGTAAAATTTTACTATAATTGTCAGTCTCACCTGATTCACTAAATGAATTAGTCAAACTGTTCTGTCTACTTTTAATAAAATAAATCTACTAATTCTTGGTCTAATTATGAAAATCAGTAAAAAATATCACTGTTCGGAGTAAAATTATTATACACTTAATCATTTGGTCGATGATTTTTCGTCATTTCATTAATAACTTTTTATACTAATTCAGATTTAGAGAGAAAATATTTCAAAGAAGTATATTATTAACTTTTATCCATAATAACCACGCAATCAATAAATCAATTTATCGTTTTGCATTTAAGTATATAGGAATAAATACAAAATTTATCACGTTTATTACAGATTCTGAAAACAATAAATAGTGCGATTAAGTAAAATATATAGAAAATTACATTGTAATTATATAGATACCTTTTGATTGACATTTTTTTAAATTCGATTTTATTTAAGATGAAGCACCTGTCAAAGCTTAATTTTTACCTACTAAAGTTATAATAATAGAGAGATATTATTAAATCTTTTCTTTTAAAAGCATTGATGAAATAAAATATACGGTACCGTACATTTATTTAAACTGAAAATCGATATTTCATATCTATTTTTGATTTCTTATATTTGTTATGCACAAAAAGAAAATTATTTAATAATACTTATGAAGCAAAAATAAACATGTTTGCAGCACTCGTATTAAAAACAATTAAATGCAAAAATAATTATTATTTTCGTTTTTTTATTTCAGAAACAGACAGCATTTTAATAATAATTATTTTTTAATATCCATAGTGGATTTCGAGAGAAGTAAACAAAATATATCCTCATATATATTTAAAAAAAAATGTTTAAATATAAAATGACTTTATTTCTATAATGAGAATATTAAGAATGCAATTTAAGTCGCAAATAGAACTGAAGTATATATTCCTAAATTTAGCTAATCGTTTTTTCAATGTAATTATTCTTTAGCATTAATAGTTAAATACGGCACATACTGAATATGAATAACTTTATTTCTGTAGTCTTGATTGAAAAGTACTGAATTAAGGAATCAATGAATTCACAAATGAGTTCATTGAGCTGAAAATAGCAGTGTAGATATTAATTTTTCAATTTTGTTAACTTCTCGATTTGTATATTTATCTTTGTCAATGAATAAATTTTTGAATGAATCGAACTTTGAAATCTTAAAATTAATATTCTTTCTTGCTTTTAAAAATAAAGTATTCGATAATTAAGAGAATTGTTTAGAATAATATTTATATATGTAATGAAGATATTGATAAATTTAGAAACAAAATTTAAAATAGAAAAAAAATCTGTAATATAAGATTGCTATAAAGTTTGTCAAGTTTGTATTCAAGAAACAATAATTATTAATCCTGTCATAAGGGTACTGAGCATAGTTTTTATTTCAAGTTTACAGTTTAGAGACAATTTTAATGCACATTGCAAACTTCCTGGGTTTATGTGAGAGGATATTGAGAAAAAAATAAAGCAAAGGAAGATATACATTTGTTTCTAGCCAATCAAAAAGATATGTATAATCTAGTATTTTATATGAAATCGAAGTTTCGTATATAGTATATATTGTATGCGTATATAGGCGATCGAAGTATTAAGTATAAAGTCATGTGACAATAAGCAAAGCTCGATTTTGCGACGGACTATAACTTATATTACAACTTTGGAAACAGGTGATATCAGCAGACTGAACAGTTGTTGGTCGTTGTGCTGCGTTAAATCGAAGGCCTCTGAATAAGTAATAATGCAAAAGTGCAATTATCCGTTTCTCTATCTGTATAGTAGTACCACAAAGCATTGACTGTCACACTTACAATGAATTCTATGATTGATTATTTGATTTCCAGCAAGATTTGCCTTTCTCTAATAAATATTAATCGAGTGCCTACCTATTTTGAATCTTCTATCCTCGGATGTGGATCGATTCATTTCTGAGTAAAGGTTTTATTTTATTCCCCTTTTAATCACTCTAAAGAAAAAATTAAATAGTTATAAGACATTTTTTCTCTAAACTTTCAAGTTTTTTACGAAAAGTTATTAGGGTTTACTGCTATTATACAGAAATTCATTCTTTTAGGGTGCATGACCATATTCTGATAATTAAATTATTATGATAAATTAAAACAACAGTTACAGTTAGTTTTTCACTAATGATGATGCAACTGGTTTTCAGGGTCAGAAAATGGACGAGTTTCGGCAGACAGTGAAGATGAGAGTGGAGGAAATGAGGCAGAGAGTATTGGCCAAGGATCCTCCTTAGCAAACAGTACGAGTAGTTCGAACAATAAAGCACGTCGCCGACGAACGGCTTTTACTTCTGAACAGCTTCTTGAGCTTGAACGTGAGTTCCACGCGAAAAAGTACCTCAGCCTCACGGAACGCTCGCACATTGCTCACGCCTTGAAGCTCTCCGAAGTGCAGGTAAAGATTTGGTTTCAAAATCGCCGAGCCAAGTGGAAAAGAGTGAAAGCCGGTCTCACAAGTGGAGGTGCTGGTCCAACCAGCCGACATTCTGCAGGAAGTCAGCACTCGAGTTCTGGTCCCAGAATCGTGGTCCCAATCCCAGTTCACGTAAGTCGGTTAGCGGTCCGAGCTCATCACCATCATTTGGAAAAGTGCCCTCAGTCCCAACCAAGAACCACAAATTGTAATATCACCAACTCTTCAGCCCTCGGACATCTCGGAAATAGTCTATCCTCTAGAATTTCTTCAACCATCTCCAATGGTACATCCTTGAATCTTGGCTCAAATACCCTCAGAGCTTTTTCTACTCCTCAACACACTAGTTCAGGAAGGTAGCCAGTAGTTTAATTCAATTATTTATTTATCATAACGTATTGTACAAATTATATCTTGAATGTAGTACGAACAAATTTTGATATACTCAAACACTATCTCTTCCAAATTAGAGATTTTATTCGCATATTTTCAACGTTTGAGTGAATGTATTTATATTTATTAAATTTAGCCGCATTTTTAAAATGTGATTTGTCAAAATTCATGATCATTTCGAAGATCTATACACAACAATTCACTAAGGATGGATATTCTGTAGAATATCAGATATAAAGAGTTAACGAGCGACAGATTAATCGACGAAACATGTACTCCATGGAGATTCCGCGTCAACCAACAAAGGGTGAAACGTCAAATACATATTCAGTGAATAACCGCGCCCATGGCTTTTGTATCTATATGTATATAGTAATCGTACTACATAAACTATACACAAACCTATATATATTCATAATCAATCTTAAGCGGATATTGCGAAAATAATTCCAGAAAATTAAATTAACGCCAATTTTAAATGATAAATGCCAAAATTACAAGTGTTTAATAAAAGATACACAATAGGGTATTAGATAATTTGTGGCCAGCGTCAGTTTTATATTTATATTCCATTTTTTTATTATTATTAATATCTCATAGTAATACTTTCTGCAATTATTGAAGTCTTTCACTTAAAAATTAAAATAAAAAAAAGAATTTTAGTAAATTCGAGGAAATTGACCGAAACTGGCTTACAGAGGCCAAAGATTCACTTACTCTATAGAACATATATATGAAATAGTTTCCAAAATAAAAAACAAAACTTTTTGTATATTACAATTATATCCAGTAAAAAATTGACAGGTTACACACCATCTGAAATAATATGCTAGCTTTTTTATTTTTTTAGTATTTTCCTTTATATATATTTTTTTGAAAGAAATCAGCAAAGTATATATAACTTTACAATACACAAACGTATGAGTACAAAACAAACAATACGCATTTTGTTTGCGTAAGTGCATTTTTGTTCGACATTTTGCATTTTTGCATTTTTGTTCATTTTGTGTATCATACCTGGAAAACCTGGAAATGTCAGAGAATTTTATAAACCTTGAAAAAATCTGGAAAAGGCAGGGAATTTTGATCGAAATCCTGGAAAATTGTGGTTTTCTCAAGCTATTGTGTTTATTCTAGAAATCTAATATTTCACTTAAATATTTCAAAATCAATTCAATTTTATAAGAGTTGCATTTACAATTTTCATATAAGTAGATGAACTTCAAAAGATTTTGATTTAAAATTTTGTAAAATTTCATTTTAGTTAAAAACACAAAAACAAATTGAATTTTGAATCAATTACAAATGATTGCAGAAATTCAATTATTTTCAAAAATTTTAATAAAATTCTTGTCAAAATTTTAATTATTTTCAAAAACTTTTCTCAATTCAATGATTTTTAATATCTACTATTTTAATAAAATTACCCAAAAGAGTTTAATTATTTAAATACAATTTTAATAAAGTTGTACGCAAAAATTTAATTATTTTTATAAATAATAAAAATTTCACAGGAATTCAATTATTTACAAATTATTTTCATATATTATTCAATTATTTTTATAAATAATAACATTATTTACAGGGATACAATTGCTTTCATAAATAATAAAACTCAATGTTGAATTTCAATTATTTTTAATACAATTTTAATGGAATTTCTTGAAAATAGTTATTATTCTTAAAAATGTTATTAAAATTTATCAAAGAAATTTAATTTTTTTAATGACCTTTGCTTCAAATTAACCTAGAAAACCTGGAAAAGTCAGAGAATTTGAAAAGACCAAAAACGTGACAAACCCTGCGGTATGTTTATGAACACATATTTAATATGGCATTTAATATAATTAAACATTCTGAAATAAACATTCATTGAATGCCTACACAAGTTTTGACACGCAATTGAAAAATTGCATTATTTTGCTTAACAAATTTATAAATCATATTTCTAATTAATTTTTGTAAATAATAATTTGACATTTATTCACATAGGTAATATATTTCGTGTCTCAAACGCCAAATTTGGTACTTTTTTGTAACCAAAATGAGTTTTATTCAACACAAATAGGTACATGAGAAGCTATTTTCTTCTAATTTTCTCACTTCATTTTAATGATAAGAAATTTTGTGCCATGGCCTCAAATTTAGCAGATAAATTATATTTTAGCGCAATAATGACTTGAGCCTGAAGTTTACTAGTCATCATCAAATTTTATAAATATTTGAACATCAATATGAAACATTTTTTAATTTGAAAAAAAGTGTTTTAATTTTAATTTAATGTACATATATATAAATGTATAGAATAAATTCGTGTATTTATAAATCATGAATTTATGATACAACTCATTAAAATTAACTTTACCGTTATTGTCTCACTGATGTTCGAGCACAACATTGTATATAATATATTATGTTGTATTATTATGACTATAATACGATATCAAACTCTTTACTATGGATTAAATAATATTTGGATTTATATACACATATATTATTTATTGTTTTATCAGTGATTTTAAGGGCAAATAATATTTCAAGATACTTTCAAGATACTTTGTTCTTTCTTTAAATCTTTTATAATAATATACACTAATTTGTATTTAAATTTAGTTGTACGAAATACGAATATCTGAAACTACAAACTTTACACTCTCGGGCTTATATATAGAGAATATTTGAAACTCAACAATTAGAATATTTGTTGTGTGCAGACAATAAGAAAGCTTAAATTCTTTGATAATGATTTAAAAATATATATATAAATAAATATTTACATACTTTATAAGTGTGTAAGTGAATATTCATTTACATTGAACGTTATATGTATGAAAGACACAATAAAAGAATGAAATAAATTATTTGAATTTCAAGTTTAATACATGTTTCTTTTGAGACAATATACCTATTTTTCTCCCTATTTTTAAATTCAGTGATAAAGTGTATCTTATAGGTGTTTTGTTTTGAATATGTTAATAAGAACATATAGCTAATAATGAATTGAGTGCATTAGACAGAAATAGTGAACATAATATACAAAAGGGCGTGAACGCGCCCCCCGGTAGCAGAGGTTTAACAATTTTTATTCAACAATGTGGCTATTTAGATAATTTGTCACTATTGAAAAATGCAAGCGACAAGCCCCCTTCAGGACCCGTCCATCCTTTGTCGACTTCTGACTCCTCTCATGGGAAGTCAGCAATGACACGAAAGGTGATTCTCTTCTCTGTGTGTGCATTGTGTACGTCTAACTATGAGGGAAGTTTTGTGCAAAGGAGCGACACGGATTTTTAAAAGAGTGTATATATCTAGTTTTAAAAGGATCCCGAAAACGAAGGCTGACATAAGGCCAAATACCTCGTGGGCGTGACACACCATATGCGATAAACTGTTAGGCTTTTTGACCAAGTATAATGCTCGTTATACTCTGGTAAGGCTAATTCGTTTATTTCGAATTCATGAAGGGTACGCGCAAAGTCGCAACATATAGATGTACCGGCATTGCACCATTGCATGTTGTTGTTTCCAAAACTATTGTTACCGCACCTAGCGCAGGTGCAGAAACATGCGAGGTATTTTTTGCTCTTTTCTCTCAACCTCAACTTGCGGAACATTTTTATTTTCTTTAAAAATCAAATTTCTCGTAGAAGAGATTATAGAATTTGGATGCAATTACGAGCATCAGCAGCATCTCGTGTAAGTGCAATAAGTCGAGAGAATTACGCGGAATGAAGGGAAGTGTATAAGGGGTGGAAGTATAGTTATATGTACAGGAAAGAGCGCGGTCGTTTCATCTTAGCAGTTACCGATGGGGATAAATCATCTCGGTTCCGCCACGCCTATACCAAAAGGACTCTGAGCAAATTCCCCTCGTGCGCAACGAACATATATCTGGCTGTTAGAAATTAACAATCAGTAAAAAATCGTAATATGCCATATCTAACGACTATAAAGTCATAAAAGCAAAGTTGTCAAAGAAAAACATACTGCCGCGCCGAGCCGAGCCGTATCACCTATATCTTTTCCTGCGTTTCGGATATTTCCCGATCAATGAATAAATGAGAATGACCGCTGAAAAGTGCAATAGCCTCATTAATTGCACATAACGGACATATAGAATCTCGATATTCTCTATTCACTTGATTCACTGCTAGAGACTATAATATAAAGTGTATGGTCAGTTTTAACAAGAAAAAGAAATACTTACTAACAACAAAAAGTCTTTTGGCGAATATAAGACGTATATTTATCGAACTATGCTTCTAATCTCTACACATTAGAGGCTTTAATGCCACATGAAAGTTACATCAAGTCACGTGCTTATGCACTTAGGAATATTCAGCGCTTCATCGTCTCTTATTGATAGTTGAGACAGACAAAATATGACGCGTGTCTTTACAAGATGTGGGTGGACCGCAAGAGATTTATTGCAGTTGGAAATGTTCCTTTCTGAAAGCCAGAAAATTCTGTGCTTGACACAAAAGGAAAGATACCAAGAAAGAAAACCACACAGTATAAAGAAATCAATACAATGACACTTGGAAATAATTCTATGAATTCTATATTTTTGTCAAGTATATATTGTTGCCGCGTGCCGTCTTCCATTAACATTTGTTATACATATTTATGCCATCTTTTTTGTACAAACAGATTTTTTATTCAGAAGTGCGTCCGCATGAGAAGGGCCCACTTTGTCGATTTTATTTTACGAGATCATACTATAAAGTGCCTCACTTTCAATTATACGTTTACGATGACAACATTGTCGCAATTAAAACAAATAATAGTTTTCAATTTTTAACTAACATGGATATAAACTGTAAACTGGTTTTTATTTAAATTACGTTTTTGACACTTCTAACGACAAGTCCAAAATAATCAAAATGGTCCCTTTTCATGCTGACGTATATTAAAAGAAAAAAAAGAAAAAAGTTAGTAACAAAAATGAAAGAAAATAAATGTTTATAATAAATTATAAAACATTTGAAATCTGAGGCATCAGTTGGCCATTGAGAAAAAAAATTAGTTCTGCTCTCTTGTGTAATTTCACGGCCACTTTTGGTAGATCGGTCAAATTGACTCAATTTCACTGGGGTGTAACGTGTGTGAGAAAAAATTATAAGTGATCCAAAAAAAAGGGTGACACCTTTCTATG